TCTACAAAGCTGCACAGAAACCAATCAATGGTCCTCCCCCCACTGTATGGCAGTGAGACATGGGTCACAGACAGGAGACACCTGAAGGCACTTGACTTGAGAACTTTCACCAACGTAGTCTACGTTCCATCCTCTGAGTCCGCTGGGAAGGCAAAAGAACAACTGCCAGCATCAAAGCTAACATTATCCATGAACAACTATACTGGACTAAAGTAGACTGCCAAAGCAGCTACTCTACTGTCACCTAAAGAATGGTATGTTATGTAATAAAACCATAATACAGTATATATTATGAGTCTCTAATTAACATTAAAATAATCTTATATCACAGTAGGACTCAAAGGAATAATCTTTACCTTAAAACGTTGTGTCCCAAATCCAAAGTATTGTGGTCCATACTGTTTTAGAAGCTCATCTGAACATTTGGTTCATTCTACACCAACTAAAAAGTTATTCGGCACCTGTGTCATATTGCATCACGCCGTAAGGGTGCCGAATAATTTTTTGTGGGTGTACATGATACTTGTACACACACACACACACACACATGTATACATGCACGATACATACATGTACACCAACTAAAAAATTATTCGGCACCCTTACGGAGTGATACAATATGACACAGGTGCCAAATAATTTTTTAGTGGGTGCACATCATAGCACCTGAGATGGCCAAAAAATAAAATTTTCTGCATACAGTACAATACCCCCTGTACTGTACAGTATATAGAAAATGGTGCAAAAAAGAAATACTATACATACTCTTAAACATTTCTATCATTGAACATCTCCAGTCTAAGACATTTGCTGAAGAAATTTCCATGATTGTGTGAAATTTACATATGTTAATATTGATATTAACTTACAATGAATATATTAAAATATGTAGTGTGAATAAATTATCAAAATCAAGAAATATCCACAAAATGCTGGCATTTGGAAGGCAAGAAAACATGCTTTGATCTACTCATTATCTTTTTGTTGACAATCACTCACAAGATAGGGCCATATCTGGAACATATTTCCACTAAAATCATAATTTAGGATTTTGATGTCATTAATATTGTATAAAATGGTCCAAATTCTTCCTCATAGGTTGAAAATGAACAATGGTGACACAGGATCAAACAATAATATATTTACAGTACAGTTCCTTAAGCTGGCTACCGGCTTAAGTATTTTGGGTGTTTCTGAAAATATAAAGGTTAAAAATTGATTTCTCCCCCCAGAAGTTATTCATTAACAATAAATAGACACCCTTAAGTAATTAAGAAATTTTCCTTTTCCAACATTAGTGCTATAATCGTTATCTTTTTTACAATATACAGTACAGTATTTAAGATTTGTTTTTTAAAATGCAATTACAGTACCATAATGTACACAGTACAAATGGTAATCTGATACCTGTACTTATCTTTTTGCAACAGAGCTCAAGGGGTGAAAGGAAGTTAGTTTACTCTGTATGGAATTGCAGCATGTTTAAAGGGACAATCCAATCCAACAGTTTGTTTCAAAAACATTTAGGTCAACTGAGATGGGCAGAAGTACCTGGGGCAGTGGGACATCTTGTACTCTGATGGAAAGAAGAGATAGGAGTAATGAAAAGTAAAGGAAGTACCAAGCTGGAGTTAATAGGATTAAAACAAAAAATTAGTCCTTACTGACAGGGTCCCATGTTGTCAAATATGTCGCTTCTCCTCACCGAAGATGTAGACACAAGTAACTGGCTCACTGTACAATAATACAACCATTGCAATAAAAATTGAGGTGAGATTGCACAGAAACTGAACTGAAACTGGAGAGAGTAATATATGAATATCCAGGAATTTGGACCCAAAGTTTATGTTGATGGCTTTTTAATTTTGTCAGAAAAAGAAGAGGAACTGACATATGTGGTAAATCAGTCCTTTACAAGGTATAAAAGAAGAGTCATCAGTTATTGCCAGAGTAGGGCAGTGTTTTTCCAAATGAGAACCAATGAAACAGTAAACTTTACCAGACTGTGTAGAATATCCTGTATTAAGTCTTTTTAAAACATGTATGATTACAATGGGTAGTGAAGGGAGTTAAAGCACTGGGAGCTAGTAATGTAACATGGCCAACTGGAGGGTGAAATACTGTCAAGAATAAAAAAAAAGTACAGAGTCAAAGCTGATTATATCTTTGGCTAGAATACAGAATTTAAGTTGTGATGAGTATTTCTGATCCACTTATTTACACTCACTGTTTTAGCAAATCAGTCTAACCTTACAGTATAAATACAAAATAGGAAAGCTGAAACATATGTTGTTGAAGTGTTAGATAAAGTTGAGATGAAATAAATATATAAAAAAAATTTCTTAAGTTAAAGATTAGCTTGTAAAAAATTGTCTATAACCGTCTCCACACACACGTTCACTTCTCACACATACACACCCATGCTCTTAATTTTTCTTATTTTATAGATTTATATTGTATTTTCTTTATTTCTAAGCCACATCAATTATATAAAGTGGAATAAGCGTTAAAGAAATCCATTTTTCTGAGACAAATTTGCAAGATCAGCCTGTAGCACAGTGCATTGTAGGATTTACTGGAGGATCCTAAGAGTAAGTTTCAACTCTTTATCCGGCACCTCTCAATCACAGTAGGTGCTGGATAACTGGGATTCTACTGTATTTCAGCAATTTTAAATTACAGGTGTTGACCAATATAAGATTGATTGATATACGATGTATCAGATTTATGATGGTTGCTACCCAATGGCTACCCGAATGTTTTTCCTGCATTGTGACTGCTCTGAAAAAGTGATGTGCAATAACCTGCAATATTCCGAGATGTGATGACGCAATCTCGGAATAGCGTAACACGTGTTGTACTGCGCACATTAATACTGGTCTCTATAATCTCTTTTGAATTTATATTAGAGCTGTATAACAAACAAAACCCCTTAGAAATTTCATTCTGGCTAAAGCCAGACAATTTCATTCAGCTGAGGGGGTTAAAGGAGAATTCAAGGTACAGTACCTATATCATGGTAGGGAAGGCCCAATTGGTACGTAATAGTGTAATATTGTGAATAAATGTAACTGTGTCTGAAGGTTATGGTATTTATGTCTGTGTAAGATTAATAAGCATAGCTATCTCATGTACCAGGTGAAAATATATAAGTATAATGATCTGAGAAAATGATAAGTGTATTAGATCTATGTGAGGTGTTGGGGTTGAGCCATGAATGATGGTAATGTGAAATTATCATATTTACATCTGTGTGAGGTTAATACACACTGTTATCTCATTGGACGGATAGCCACGGACAACGCCATGATTTGAGAATCTTATGGGAGTGGTAAATGTTTGCGCAGTGTCGGGGATGACCCATAAACGGGGGTAAAGTGAAGTGTGATATACCAAGCCAAGAACCAAAGCTGTTGTCCATGTTGGTGCCTAAAACCGTGAGGCCCTCAGTTTTGAGATAATGAAATGTGCAAAGGAATTTACCAGAACCCTGACAACTCACAGATTGTATTATGCAATTAAGAATTATGGTATATAATTATAAGGCATGAGGTCACAATACCAAAGTAAATGTATGTGTGGGGGCCAGAATAAGACACTAATTTATAAGCAATGGCACCCACAAGCCTCAGTAACCAGGGTTGGATCCAGGGGAGGTCCTGGGGGTCTGGACCCCGCCCCCTCCCTTTTCATCAGAAAATTCCAATACCTTTTCTTTAATGCAGTATTGTACTCGGGCAATTTTGTATAATAAAAAATATCTCCTAATATCAAGTGCACATGGCCTCAAAATGCTCATGATATTGGTCAGCAGGGTGGGCTCACTGTGCTCACCATGTTTCCCCACCCACAACTTCTTGAACCCCCCCCCCCCCTATTGATATTCCTGGATCCACTCCTGGTAACTCGGAACTCTTCATACAGGGCAGGTAAGGGCAGTGCGAGCCTGTGTGTGGGTGAGCAGTAGATGCCATGGAGAGAGATATTTGATGTCAGAGGAAATATTAGGCCCAGAAACCACTGTTGTGTAAGAGGAGCCCACCTGGTGTAGTGGATCATGCCTGTGGCCACAGTGCAACCTCTCTAAGGATCTCTGGATGTCTCAAGCACATAGTACCCTGGGTGTTGAAAATGTAATGGTGCTACTTTGAAGTGTAAGAGTATAAGGTGAGAAGGGTACCAGCTGTGTTAATTTGGTGCTGACAGTAAGCTACATTACCTGCCTGTATTACAGAATGTTCCTTTATTCAGGTGCTATTGAGTCATAAGTGAAAGGCTGATAATTTATATTGTGAAGGAGTGACCTAAATTGAGAAGGCCAGTATTTTTGTTTGGTGAAGAAGTGACCTTGCTTGGGAAGGTCAGCTATTTTTGTATTGTGACTGAGTATTATTAGTATATCCAAATTAAGACCATTTTTATTAATAAATTAGTTAAGAATAATGACATGTTTCACACATCCTTCCATCTTAAGATCTGATTAATAAAAAACCAAAACTCACAAAGTTAGATTTCTTTGCCTGCTACCAAAAGAAAAGAAGCTAAGATTCTAGATTCATACCAGACATACTGTCTTGAGGTCTGGTGGCAGCAAACATAATTTAAGGAGTAAATTATGTAATGATTAAAAATTAATTAAAGTAAATTAAGTGAACAAGGATACGGCAGTATAGTGTGACACACACAGGATATGTGGGAGGCTCTGTCCGCCCCCGGTGACTGCCAGGCTGAGCAGCTGCACTGTATCCCATTGCCCAGAGGATGGTTTAAGTGTGGAAGAAGCTATTCTTTGTTCATAAAATAATATATACTGTACCAGTATATGTGAGGAATAAATAAAAATACAGTAAAACCTCCCCAAGGCAGACTAATTGGGGGGAAGGGGTGTTTGGGATAAGAGGGTGTCCATCTTAGAGCAAACTTTCCCAAAACACTGACATTTAAAAAAAAAAAATGAGTACACCACCAAAATATCCAATTTTGTATGAAAGAAATACATGTTTTTGAATCAAAATTTATCTAAAAAGTAATGTACACTTATTTTCAGTTCACTGATACGGCCTTAGGTTTAACCTTCTCATCACCCTTACGGATACCAAACAGTTTCCTAGAGGTCAGGGTTATTGTTAATTTTTCTATAATAAAGCAAAAAATTTGAATGCTTCTTCAGCCTTTGGCGAATGCACTAAATGTATAAAACCGATAAATGATGATATAAAAGCACCAAAAATACAGTACAGTATTTTACGGCAGGGAGTATTTATGAAAAACTTTTGTGTGTATTTTCCTCTTGTAGCCACTGTTTTCCTAAAATAATGTATACAGTACCAGGAAATGTGAGGAATAAACAAAAATAATTCCAACAAAAAATACTGTATAGCCAAATCAGTTAATAAAAGCCAAATGAAAGTTTAACACAGTCGCCATGTGCATACACTCCCTGTTTCACCATAGTAACGAAGGTCAGACGGGATGCCGATTCCTCAGCAACACTCCTCCAACCCCTACACTCTGCGACCGTCTTCCCCTCCCTCACTCAGTCAGCTAACTCGTGTGCAAAGAAATGTATATTCCCTTTATGTGTTTGCCCTTAGGACAATCATTTCTTTTACTTTTTTTCACAATATACGATTTGAAAAACAACCATAACACCACAGCTACAATGCCATGATTAATCACTATTATATCAGGAAACACTAATAATAACAGTAAATCCAATGAAATATGGTAGGGAGTGAGGAATTACAAGTGCAGACGATGCAGTAACTAGCGGTCACTCACTCGCTGCCAGACATACAATCGAAATACGTATAGGAGAAATGCATATCTTGTACATAGTCTAATTTGAAAACGGTGACAGGCACAATGATAAACAAATTATATAAACCATGCATTTACCTACGATAACATAAGAAACATTGTATCATTACTAGAGAGAATAAAATAATATTCCCCAAAACAACAATTAATAACTCTCGGGCACCTGTGTCCCGCACGCTGATGCCTTGATCCCTTAAAATTTTGTGGACATGTCATCAGATGACAAATTTTCTCGTACTTTCTTTTAATTATTTAAATTTTTAAATTATTTTTGGGCAAAAATTTTGTCTGACTTAAGCAGGGTCCACCTGAATGAGGTTTTACTGCAATGCTAATAAAAAAAATATTGCATTGCCAAGGCAATCGTTTCACTACACACATGGAACATGAGACAGACTACAGCTGAGAACCCCCACTTCATTCCTTCCTCCCCCATTCTGTGATAATTCCTGTGCACATAAAAAATGTTTATTCCCTTTATGTTTTTTGACCTTATAATAATTTTCTGTGTGAAAGATTGTGTTCATGTAACAGAGTACAAAAAAATAAAATTACACGACTACCCGAAATTACGAGTTAAAAAATAACTGTAACTCTGTCTCTTCAAGGTCTGAGAAACATAACCCATTTTCCCTATATATTGTGAAGATCACCATACAATGGCTTTCCGATGTCCCTAGCTCCATCATTTAACAGTCAACACTTGTATATAGAAATTTGGTGAACCTTTATATGCAAACCATGGGAAGTCAAGAAAATCAAAGGACTTCTATATTAATTGTCTCATAGCAACTTACTTGGCTAATTACTTTTCTTGGTATAAATATTATCAACAACACCTTCCTCTCTCACCTTGCTACTCTTTTCTGCCACATTACACCTTTAATATATATATATATAATCCTTAACTTTAGAAAATTAATAATATCATAATAACATTAAAATATGATATGATAAATTACAAGTCTTTGATCAGAAAATAGAAAAATAAAAATAATAATTACAAATGGCACACTATATATTGTGTATATATTTGAAGATATTTGAACTATTCTTAGCTAATAAAAATAATCAATTACCTTTTTTTTATTGTATTTAAATAATTTTAAGTGACCCAATCAAATACACATTAATCTACAACCATAACCATAAAATAATTATGCATTGCTCTCCAGAAAACTTAATCCCAAATACAACCTGGCAAGTTTCATGTCTATCCTATAAATGTTAAATTTTATCATTGTTCATGTAGATTCCTTTACAATTTCTACCCTCTAGGTTATTTACTTAAGTCTGTTGAGCTTTAAGGGGGCTGAGGAGAAGAGGTTGAGGAAATATGGTGCTTCCGTGTTGGGGTAGAAGGTGCTGGGGATGATGTTATACACACCTGCAACTAGATCAAATATCTCCATGACCACAAAACCTGACCTGAAATGGAGTACAATTTAACTTGTATAACAAATTTTAAGGCAAGTGTACAAGGAAAATATTACAGAAAGATCACAGAGCTTCAAGAAAAAATAGCAGATTACTGTACTTGGTATACGACAACAGTAAATGAGATTAAGATGAAAGAGTGTGGCAATATCTTATCTGCTAAAATAAAACAAATATTGTTTTCATTTTTTTTATATTTCTAATCCAAAATTAATATTTCAAACTGGGTAAATCTTATAATTTTCAAGTTCATTGAAAGACCTGACAGTACAGTACTATACTGGAAATTTCACATTAAACAGTGAGGTAGTAAAAATGCACCACAGCCTCATACGGTAATCTTATGTTAGCCCTTACTGCCGTATTATAAAAACAGAGTGAGGGTTATTCAAAGACTTCCTTACTTAGTTTGTTCTTGTAAAAGTCACAGACTCACCATCACTCAATAATACTGGAACACTGAGATATAAACAATGGAGCATTTGGTTTCCAGAACAAACACCGTATAAAACCAAGCAAAATTACTCGACTTTATTTTTTAAATCTTGACTGTCTATCATCAAAATTGCGAGAATTCAAGACCAACAGCATCTGTATCCAAGAAAGTAACCTACACCCCATATTTCATGTATTTGACACTCCAGTATACCTGATGTCGTCTGGTACATTGCTTGGTGTTCTAGGACGTACATGATATGTTCTCTGACTGAAAGGGTTCATACATTGTTTCTTATTGAAAAGGTAGTTTTACATTTTACAGCTTCATACATCACAAGGACTACCTGTATACATAAGTGCAAATAGTAAACAAGGGAGGATTTCTGGACATCCATAAAGTACCTATTTGGAGAGACCTTTGACATAGTTATCTCTGAATAGTGGAATTTTACAGTAAATCTAGTTTGCACATACCTGTATGCCCCTGACTGCTTCTTGGCGAAGTGCCCACTGGCCTCTGTGTTCTTTGCTTCTACACACACAGCCTCAAAACCAACCTTGAAAGGTAAACAACGTTAAAATACACAAAAACAAGCGACATCAACAAAACTTAATTGTTTGTCTATCCAAGAATAACAACACATAGACACTGTTTACAGACCAAGAAACATTTGGATCAAATCTAAACTAACACTCCAATTTGATTTCACTGGTAAGGAACAATTAGTAGAAATTATGAATGAGGAGCATCATTCTTTTCAGCAAACCTAACCAAACATGGTACACTAGTTGTCATTTGTTTCCAATCATCTTGACATGAACATTTTACTCTAAATCTATAATGCCTTTTTTAGTACAGCATTGTCTAAAATTGAGGATATTCTCTATATATCAGATAAATACCTGAATATCCTTAGGGGCCTTGAGTTCAATTCTCAGACACTGTAAATCACTATCAGTTCTGAACTGGTACATTGGGTTGTTCTTGTATGTGGCTGGATGATTGGGGCAGCCACCAGCAGTTTCACCACTCCACTTTCCAGTAATCTGAAAAATAATTACTGTACAGTAAACCCTCGCTTTACGCAGTTTCACTTTACGCGTTTCCACGGTACCCTGCCGAACACGGAATGCTCACTTTACGTGGTGTGTGTACCCTTTTACGCGGAGAGCGGCTGGCGGTCCTCTCGCGCTGTGCCATTTTTGGATCCAAACCTCCTGCCATCTCTCCCGCCCTCACCCGTCATACCGCCATGTTGGGTAGGCGGCGCAAGTAGGTTGCGCAGTGTATGTCTTTGTTGCGTTATCGGTGATGTCATATGACGTATCGGACTGTGATTGGGCCAAGGATCCTTACCTCCCTCCCCGCTAGCTGTGATTGGTTTAATGTGCTATGACGTGCCCCGCCGCGGGAGCGTTCAAGCCCCTTGACCTACCCGCGTCAGTTACACCCGTCCCAGCTACACCGTGTATATTGGTATCCATTGTTCCATAAGAATGGCTTCCACCGGACCACCACCACCACCACAAAGAAACCTTGCATTACCTGGACCCAGCCGCCCTAAGCCAAAGAAGATACGACGTTCCTTAAGCTACGAAATTAAGTACAAGATCATACAAGAGTTGGAGAAAGGAACAAGACAGGTTGATCTCGCGGGCCAGCATGGTGTTAACGAATCAACTATCAGGACAATTAAGAAGGATGCAGCCAAGATAAAGGAGCACATGAACATCACAAAGTCTACAGGTGCTTCTATGATCACGTACTGCCACAACCAGGTGCTTCTCAAGACGGAAAAATTACTTGTGAGCTACGTGGTTCGTCAGGTGCGACGGAACATGGCGGTGGACACGCGCTCAGTTAAGGAGTACACACGTGAACTGCATGCTGCAGTGTCACGTAAGATGGGAATTGCAGAGCCCAAACCCTTTAATGCTTCCTCTGGGTGGTTGCAGAGGTTTAAGAAGAGGAACAAGATCACCAATATTAACATTGGTGGCGAAGAAGCTGGTGCTGACCGTGTTGCGGCTAGGGAATTTCCTCCGTTTTTACGTGAGATTGTGGAGGAAGGACAATACACCGACGACCAGGTGTTTAATATGGACGAATCTGGTCTTTTTTGGAAAAAGCTACCTTCCAAGACCTTCGTTGTGAAGAATGCCAGCAAGTGTCGGGGCTGGAAGTTGCAGAAGGAGCGCATCACCGTCTTGTTTACCACAAATGCATCCGGTACCTGTAAGCTCAAGTTATCGGTGATCCACACAACACGCAAGCCGCACGCCTACAAGAGCATGGACATGACCAAGCTAAATGTCCACTGGCTGACCGCACCTAAGGCGTGGATGTTCTCTACTCTGTCCCTCTCCTGGTTTGATGACTGTTTCGTTCCTGACGTTAAGAAATTCTGTGAGCAACACAATGTTCCATTCAAGATTTTGTTGCTGCTTGACAACGCACCAGGACACTCGCCCCTACTGTTAGATCGTCACCCCAGCGTAAAAGTGGTCTTCCTTCCTCCCAACACTACGTCTATAATACAGCCCATGGACCAAGAATTGATCTGTAATGTGAAAACTGCATTCTCTGCCAAGAAATTTAAGCTCCTGAACGACTACACCAACACAAAGGAAGAGTTGCGTAACCTGAGTGACACCGATAGCAAGAGCGAAGACGACGAGGAACAACAGTTGCCAGAGCAAGAAGTACTTGTGAAACAATTTTGGAGAACATTCAACGTCAAGAAAGCTGTGAACTTCTTGGTGGAGGCATGGGATCAGCTGTCTGTAGCAACTGTTCGTCACGCATGGAGACATGTGTTGCAAGGTATTCCGGGTGGGAGGCAGAGTAAATCTGTGACTGGTGAGGTTCAGACTGTTGCAGTAGCAGTGGACCTTGCCAGAGAACCTGCGCAGAGTGTTACAGCTGCAAGCTTCTCCTAGACCACCAACGACGACATCCTGGAGGTAATAAGGGATCCTGATGTGACTACCGACGAGATGCTAGATGATGATGACGTCAGTGAAGAGGCAGGTGGTGCGTCATCCCAAGAAGAACGCAAGTTATTCCATAGTAATGTAAGGGATGTCATCGAGTGTATTGAGAAAGTCAAGCTCCTTCTTTCCGACGACCCTGACAATAACTGGTACAAAATCTTCACTACCCAGCTGTTGCAGACTATGGAGCCCTACATCAAGGTGTATCACAACATAAACACCAGCCGTCAGCAAAGCATAACCGAGTTCTTCGCCCGCAACCCACCACAGCCAGCCCAAGCCAGTGATGGTGACAGAGACAGTGATGAAGACTTTGAGGGATTTGTCAGGGAGGCACTAGTAAGTGTGGATGACAGTGATGAAGACTCACCTGAGGGCCAGTAGCCTGCCCTCTGCCTCGGAACCAGCCTCGATTCCCGTACGCCGACCCATCTCTTCTACTAACGTAAGTGTTAACCCCAACCTTGTTTTTTTCTAACCTAACCTACAGTATATTATTCTCTTATTAATTGTTCCCTTCTATATTATGTGTGTGTGAATACCATCATAAAGTTAAGATATTATTTTTACTAAAATGTACGTATTGTGTCAGGAAAAAGTGGAGTTTGGGGGTCGGCCCGGTCTCTATTTCAATTAATCCCATATGTTATGTTGTTCACTTTCGGCGTTTCTCACTTTACGCGGGCCGCCGTGGGTTCAAATGACCGCGTAAAGTGAGGGTTCACTGTACTATAAGTTTCATTGTCCGTGAATTCTGTACATATTTCATCTCTAATGATATAATGAAACTTAATATTTGAACAAATACTAAAAGAACAATTTGACACAATGCTTTTAAGACAAACTGAACTATGTACAGTACTTCTCTTATACATGAAAAATACACAATAACCAAATATAAACAACATACAGCTACTCCCCAACTTATGACGTACTCGACTTACATCCACCCGCACTTACGACCTGCCTCAGTCGTACCAAAATTTGGTCAAATTACGTATTTTCGAGTCCCAAAGTCAGTACACAGACAAAATTTTCATCTGAAATTCACTTTAAAATGGCTGGCAAGCTTAAAGGTGAGTGTTTTGTGGTGCTAAGAAGAAAAAGAGACCCCCATTTTAGATTTTCTATGTATTATTTAAGCATTTCCGACTTACGACCTGGATGTCGGTCCCTTACCCTGTCGTAAGTCGGGGAGCAGCTGTACTCTATACAGTAGTATCATATGTTGCATATTTAGGTTTAGCGATCTGTGGTGTAATGGTCGGCATTCTCGCGGACCCGAGTTCGATCCTTGGGCAGGGTGAAACTATGGGCAAGTTACATAATGCCATTTGCCTCTGTCTACCCAGCAGTAATTGGGAACCTGGATGTTAATCAATTTGCAGATTACATTCCAGGGTAATGGTTAGCAAGTGCAGTTGGCGAGTTGTCCGGTCTTCTCGGACTATTCCTTGACACTGGGTCAAGCAACTCGTTAACTTAGGGTGTGGTTGTTGAGTTGGCAACAGCTTCTACACCTTAAACAAATTCACGCCTAGGTGGCCCTTGGGCTGGCCATCCTCGTTACACGAGGGGCAACCATTATTATTATTATTTATATTTAGGTTATATATTGTTGTGGTCAGACTTACGTTTCAAAAAGCTCAAAAATAGAGGCCTTCCACTAATGTTTAAAGATTAACCATCAGTGAGGGTTCATTGGACTAATCTTCCAGAAACACATCCTTATTAGGCAAAATTTGCACATGTACTATGAAAAGTGTGTGTGTGTGTGTGTGTGTGTGTGTGTGTGTGTGTGTGTGTGTGTGTGTGTGTGTGTGTGTGTGTGTGATGTGTGTGTGTGTGTGTGTGTGTGTGTGTGTGTGTGTGTGTGTGTGTGTGTGTGTGTGTGTGTGAGATATTACCAATCTAATACAGTATTTATACTCTTTCCAAACATTTGTGTGAAACCTCAGTGAAGGGAGAGGGGATAATGGAAAGAGACAGGAAAAGACCAAGATAACAAGAAGAAATTTTCACATGTACACTCGCTACAAAAATTATCTGCAAAATTTTTTGCTAGACAATATGACACAACAGACAAAGGATTTTGACAACCCTACCATGAAAACAGGAGTCATATTGTTCATTTTGACATCCATCGGACCCCACCTTGCAGATACTTTCTGTAACGATTGTACTTACTTTATCCTCAATGTGCATTCATTGTATACAAAGTGATACTTAGCTTTCACATTGACTCACAGTCTTCTCATCAATTCACTGTGCATACTTAGTTATTAGGTTTGTTCAGGTAACCACTACCACATATGAAACAACCCACCATTCAAAATATTTCTTGCATATATAATCTAACATGACAAGTCTGAACCACATTAAATCACTAATATTGTGCATCAATCTCAACTTTCATGCCTTTAACTGAACTGTGATAAATCTTTCTATCCAATATTTCATTATCATGCAGATCCATGTGTCCAACATACCATCTTAGAGCACTTACATTCATTTGACTCTCCAGTGATCCATGTGTCAGACACTTATATGAAGAAATAAGGCATACATTTTTTATTCATGGTTTTAGATTTTAAACAGTCTTGTCTTACCTCATTTTTGTGTTTGCAATAATTCTTGATCTTATGCAAAGAAAATGGACAGGTGGAATAAACCCGTAAAGAGTAGTGGATAGTCAGATGTTTCTCATACTGAGACACCACTAGTGTGAACTTGTGTGTCCCAGGTTCCTTCAGAATCATTTTGCAGAGATAGTGCGGGCTGTTGATACGCACACCATCAATGAACGGAGCTGGGTCAACTGGTACGGTGAGAACAGGAAGAAATTTTAAGTGAGTCATAAATATAACTTCAATAAATAAAACCTACATCAACTCCATCTCTCCATCTGATAGCACCTAAATCTATAAGTATAACAGTCTCACTGCATTATAGATATTTAACTTCTGGAATATCAGGTATACAGAATTTGAAAACTAAGACCACAAAATTCTGGATATGGTATGAAAATTTGATTGTGCAGAAATGAGGTAATGTTTCAACACAAAAAGTGCTACATGGAACAAAAAAGTCAACAAAATTATAAACTTTTTGAATGATTTGTCTTAACATGAATTCAATGCTGCATTTGTAAGTGTGTCAGTCTGATGTGAACATGCAGTTGGCTTAGCTTGTTTTGAGTACAGTGCACAATCTCAGGTGTCAAACTTATCGTATTCAAGATTGTGTCGAGTGTCATCTTTGTTGAAGTTGTCTCAAACGAAGCCATTGAATGCAAGTGGCAGAAACAGTGTTAAAAAAGCCCTTAGAGTCATTACTTTGTATGTAAATCTAAAAGTGTTACAGCAATTTGATGGGTATGAAGTGAGTCAAATGGCCATACTGCAGCTCCAACTCTCACTCCACCACCTGATGCCCACTACCACCTCACACACTAACCACCGTCATTTCTATGGTTGCCATCATCTACAGTGTACTGATGGTGGCTGGCTTTTCACCAGCCTCAATGCCCTTCATCCTCTCCAACTTAACATCTAAAGTGATGACTCTGCAGGGTCTCTTACCACTCGGAGAATTATTGCTGCTGCTCATTTTACTTGTTGTCACTTTCCTGACATCTCTAAAATGATATACAGTGAACCCTCACTTTACGCGGTTAATTCAACCCACGGCGGCCCGCGTAAAGTGAGAAACGCGTAAAGTGAACAACATAACATATGGGATTAATTGAAATAGAGACCGGGCCGACCCCCAAACTCCACTTTTTCAGACACAATACCTACGTTGTAGTAAAAATAACTTCTTAATTTTATGATGGTATGCACACACAATTAATAATTAAGAGAAATATCAATAATATTAGGTTTTTAAACACTTACATTAGTAGAAAAGATGGCTGGGCACACGGGGATGGGGGGTTGGTTCCGAGGCAGAGGGCAGATTATTGGCCCTCACCTGTATCACTTGTATCAATTGTATCACTATCCACCACAGAGGCTTGCAGGGCCTCTTTGTCAAACCCCTCAAAGTCCATATAAGTCCATATCCTCACTATCATTATCACTATCACTGACTTGGGCCGGCTGTGGTGGGTAGCGGGTGAAGAACTCGGTAATGTTTTGGTGACTGGGCGACCTTGTGCGCACCCTGCTCGCGCCGCTCTCCGCGTAAAGGGGTACACGCACCACGGAAAGTGAGCATTCCGGTTTCGGCAGGGTACCGCGGAAACGTGGAAACGCGTAATGTGGGACCGCGTAAAGCGAGGGTTGACTGTACACTGTAGTACAGTATATTGCTTGGAAAATGCAAGAAATTACTGGAGAGTTCTATTGATGTGTGGAGCTCGATTCAAAAGAGTCCGCTATGTAGTTTGTAGGCAAACAATGTTAATAGGATATGCATTAGCCAGCCAAACTGCTTAGAATATAGGTAATGCTCATTTTCTTTTAATATAATGGGTAAATACTGTACAAAATATGTTTCTCACCCTAAAAAAATTTAATAATAAAATTGAAAAAGCTATTGTATAGTAATTAAAAATAAAGGTGTTTAAATTTTTACAATCATTAAATCAAAATACTGTACAGTCATCCCTTGGTTATCACGCCTAATTGGGACCACGCCGAGTACGTGCTAACGAAAAACGCGATAACGAAAGTACAGAACCTATGGGATTTATTCTAATTGGTTCCAAGCATCCAAGACCCAACCCCAATTTTTCCATTTTACGACCATTTAGACCCACTAAAGATATAGATAATGTTATGGTAAGTATCAGAAACACACATAGGCATGGCTAGGTTTATTACAAAGTGATGAAAAGGGTATGCTCAATACTGTAGTCCACAAAACATGTAGCTATACTTTCTTTATTTGAGTCCCCCGTCTGAAGAGTCCGTTTTCTCATCGCTTCAGGACGCCTGAGTCCTCCATTTTCTCTCAATCTTAGAGTGCACCCGAGACTTTGTTATTCCTTAGTGTGACACAGAATTTGAAATTGCAACTGGGGTTGCAATTGTTGAGGCAACTTAGATATGTCTGATTACAGCAAATGTGTTATTGTCAATTTGTAGGTGAAAGATTTATCCTCAATAGATGTAAGTGAAGCAAATGGGTAAAAACACCTGGTGGCAACTGCGTGATAAAAAAATTCTTGGCTTGAAAAATGCACTATAACAGCAGGTGTGCAGATTTTGATGGAGGCGTGATAACTAAAATCGCGATAACCAAGTGCGCTATAACCAAGGGACGACTGTACACTGTATACTAACAGTAACTCTACAGTGTGTAGAGTTACTGTAAATGAAAAGACAGAGCTATTGATACCGTATTGTACTGCAGTATATTATCACAATAAATTTACCAAATACTTTTATGTTTACAAAGAATTATTATATTCATTCTTAATTAATTTCCTTAATACAAAGGTTGATTTATTTGTCCTTGCAAGCAGCTTTGAAAAAAAATCATTAAAATATACTATACATATTGTTTGCATTGCAGAATTTTACATTATGAACAACAAACATAACAGAGACAGTGGGAGACAACATAACAGAGACAGTGGGAGACAACATAACAGAGACAGTGGGAGACAACATAACAGACAGTGGGAGACAACATAACAGACAGTGGGAGACAACATAACAGACAGTGGGACAACATAACAGACAAGACAACATAACAGACAGTGGGGAGACAACATAACAGAGACAGTGGGAGACAACATAACAGACAGTGGGAGACAACATAACAGACAGTGGGAGACAACATAACAGAGACAGTGGGAGAGTGGGAGACAACATAACAGACAGTGGGAGACAACATAACAGACAGTGGAGACAACATAACAGAGACAGAGACAACATAACAGAGACATAACAGACAGTGGAGACAACATAACAGACAGTGGGAGACAACATAACAGAGACAGTGGGAGACAACATAACAGAGACAGTGGGAGACAACATAACAGAGACAGTGGGAGACAACATAACAGAGACAGTGGGAGACAACATAACAGAGACAGTGGGAGACAACATAACAGACAGTGGGAGACAACATAACAGACAGTGGGAGACAACATAACAGAGACAGTGGGAGACAACATAACAGAGACAGTGGGAGACAACATAACAGAGACAGTGGGAGACAACATAACAGAGACAGTGGGAGACAACATAACAGAGACAGTGGGAGACAACATAATGGAGAGGTATACAGTAATTATATTAAAAGATAACATTTAATGCCATCAATTATTCTATTCCACCCAATATGAACAACAGAAAAAGTAACTTTATTTAACATGTTAGGCATATTAGTGTTAGAAGAGGAGTTCTCAACCCCAAGATGCCGAGTCTACAGGGGTAGGTGTGATGTGTTACATTTAGGAATAAAACTATCAAAAGCTAAGAGAGTTACCAAAACACAAACAACAATGCACAGAATGAGAAGAAACTCACATTTTGTCTGCCACTGTGGGTTTCTTCTCATACAAGGTTATGTTATGATGGTAGCATCATTGTTTTCAAGGGCCAGTGCAAAGGATAATTAAGAGAGAAAAACATAATGACTCACAGGGATAGAAGACTTTTTTCCCTCCAGTCTTGTACACAAGGAGGGTGATGTACTCCTTGTTGTTACGAAAATCTTCTATTTCGGTAATGTGTCTGGTAAGAAGAAGCCAAACTGCAGTGCCTCCTGGGCACTGCACCTCAAGGGAGTACTGTGGGTTCTCTCCAATGTTGTACAAGTCTCGCACCGGACCAGCACCAGAGTTCCAAGTTCTAGGACATTCACGTTTAATTATATGTCAGCTAATAATAATATCATATTTTTATCTGTTTACATAAATAATAAGAAAAGAGCTTAGAAAAATATTACACAGCACATAATGGCACAAAGGCATATGTATACTTTCTTATTAACAAGGTTAAACTTTCCTTAAATCTTCAAAGGGAAAGTACAACAAGGCCCCCCAGGGAGGGACTTCCATCTGGTTTACACCTCTCACAACCCTACATCACTTATCAGTATTACATCCTTGACCATAATCACTTCATATCATAAGCACAAACTGCTGCTCCTTGGAAGTCCATCTCCCTCACTTTTATTATGTCTTTCATCCCATCTCTTTGGTCTTCCCCTCTCTATCCTTGCATTCACATATAAATTATACTCTTTTTACAATTATTCACTTCCCATACTCTCAATTTGTTTATACCACCTGAACTGACCCTGTCTGCTCTCTACCCAACATTTTTTTTCCTTGAACCATCTCTTCTTATTTCCACATTTCTTATTCTCTGCATCCTATTACACCTCACATATTCTTCTCTAGCAAATCATTTCTGTTGCCAACATTGTTTCTATGATTCCCTGTACACAACCAGTTGACATTCTTTTGATACAATTCGCTCTATCCATATTAAGAAACCTCAATAACCCAACATGGATGGAACCAAGCACTTGCTAGATTTGGGCAGTTTCCAGTGTTTTGACTAGTAAAGTCCTTCATTACTCTAGCATCACTACCCCTATCACTGGACGGTGGTCCCCAGTTACAAGCCATTATGAGAGCACTAGAACTGAATTTATCAATGTACTGGCAGAAGAAAGTGTCATTAATAGAAGCTAGGGACCAGAAAATAGTGGCCAGGTGGACACATAGTGGTGGACAATAGAGTAGTGACACTGGAAACTACTAGGCAGTGTTCCAATTTCTGGGTGTTTTGCTTCATATTAAAATCTATGCAAATTTTTGCAATTGTGCTGGTTTTAGAGGATTATAAGGCATATATTACCACAACATCAAGCAGGGTGAAACACACATTCTTCCTTCACGTGTTGTCATTCATTCATTATTTCTGTTGCAACAGATGTGTTTACAGCTATGGCTCTCCACTTCTACTGCATGGCTCCATATATCCATTGGTCTCTACACACACACACACACACACACACACACAAGAGAGTTTTATCTCTCAAAATTTAAAATTTTTGATGGAATGGTGTAATTACTAACCTCATTATGCGCTTGAAGACCTCAATTGTTGAAGCGCAGTAATAACATTATAACAACAACTTCACACAAGCAAGCAGCAAGTCTTTCCCTGAAACTCACCTGATGTCATGATCTTCACTCCTTTCACACACACTGCTGCTTCCTGGATGTCAATTCCATCACCTCTAGTGTATCCTTCACATCATCCTTTCCCTTTCACCTTCCAACTATATCTGAATTGTACACTATACTTACCAACCTTCTACCTCCCATTCTTTCAATATGTCCATACAACCCAAGTTGAACCTGATTCACTCTCTTCCTGACAAATCTTTGAGAAGGTATGGAAATGCTAGAGACTCAGACAGAGAGCTGATCAAGGTCTGCTCAGGTGGTATGAAAATACTGAGAGTGTATAATTCAGGGGTGGATGGTACAAGGAAGAGAGGAAAATAAAAAAAAGGAGATGAAATATGTGGTGATGGATAGGAAATAAGTAAGAGGGATGTACATCATGGTGTCCAGTAATTTTTGGTAAGGGATGTGCTGCTCACAGGCAATGTTGACCAGCATGAAGTGTCAGGGGTCACCTAGATTTTGGGCCTTGTTGTGGAAGGAGAGTACCACAGCAGCACACATCAATTACAGCAGTGTGGTACAGTTCTGTACACCTGTCACTACAAATAAGCCAGCAAAACCCACCAGCAGAAGCACCATCCCCCCAAAAATCACTCAATGTCATACTCTCTGCTCATTTATGTACAAAGCTGCTTCCTGGATATCTATCCTTCTCACTACAAATGCATCTCAGGTAAATTTATGAAAGTTATGAAACAGAAGTACCATAATATTATCCTTGTTCATACTTTTATTTTTGTTCCAAAATTCTATGCTGAATGTGAGCATACTGCTTTATTTTCTGAATCTGTTTTGCAAGTCTGAAAAATAAATTTGACCTGGTAATCTAGAATGGAATAACACTAAGATATAATTTTTTTTATGGAGAGATAAACCTGGAGAGATAAACAGATTATATATAGAAGGATTATCTTGAGGATTTAATGGTAACTAAAAGTGAAAAAGAGGTAAAGACTTTATGCTAGGTGCTGGAGGAAGAAAGAGGGAAACTAAGGTTCAGAAAGAAATATCAAGGAAAAGATAACATTAAGCAAATTAAAATCAGCAAAACCTTCAGGAGTGGATGGTATTAGAATTAGGGATGTTAAAACAACATTAAACAATAAGAATCCTACTAATAGCATGTTAGATGGCATGGAAAACAGGGAAAGTATCAGATTACTGGTTGAAAGCTACAGTACAATAATACCATTGTATAGGGGATACAGTGCTTTCCTCTTGTCCTACAAGTTGCAAGTTTGGTCCTGGAGCAATCTTAGTGTAACCAGCTGTAAATGGATACCAAACTTTACAGATGAGGAGGTGAAAGCAGTCTAGTGCAATACTAACCAAATTGTCTCCCTGTGTACCAAAAGCAAAAATATAAAAAGGAAGTGCATAAAACCTGCAGAGGAATCAGTTTATTAAGTATTAATGCAAAAAGTATGTGGTAGAATTGCAATTAAGAGGGTGAAAAAATAACAGGACGTAGGATATGTGACGAACGGGGAGGATATAGAGGAAGTTGTGGTGGTATAGACCAATTATTTTCAGCAAAAACATACAAAGGAAACACACTGGAGACATCTGGAAGCTGTTTACTGCATTGATATTTTATGAAGGCATATGTAAGGAATAATAGGTTGGATTAAGAGGCACTGCGGGTGATGAAGGTTTATGAAGTAGAAGGAAATCTGTTTGATGCAGTGAAAACTTCAACATGAGTATTCTAGCATGTGTGAAAACAAACAGAAGACTAAGTGAATGAACTGAGATGAAAGTATAAGTGAAGTAGAGATGTGTAATGTACTCATGGTTGTTTGACATATTTATGGATGGAGTGAAGTGAAGCAAGATTGAAACTGGAGCTGGAAAGTTGGATTAGACCACTAGTGACAATTCACCACGATGCAGTGATTTTTACAGTGAATGTGACAAATACCTGAAAAGGAGGTGAAAAACTTGACAAGGCGCTTAATCAAAAGAAAATAAAGGTAAATGAAAGGAAGACAAAGATACAGTAATAAATTTTGAAAAGGACTAGTTAAGACAAGATGATGGTATATCATAGAGGGAAAAACTTAGTAAAGTAAAATGCTAAATTATGATAAAAAATGGAAGAAGTTAAACAGTTCAGTTATTTGGGAGTGTTAAATGTAAATAATAGATAAGTAGGAAAGGAGCACATGGGAGGAGGGTGATTGGAGAGTACATGAAGCTTTGTCAAAGGGAGAACTGTAAGCTTGGAAGTAGAGAAAAAAATCCAGAGATAGTATACCACTTCCTATCTTAACGTTGAGAGAGAAACTGGGAGTGGAGCAGAACATTCCAAATTTCAAACTACAAGAATGGAAGGAGTAAGAAACTATGAACTGTGTGAAATTGCAAAAAAGGCAAATGATGTAAATTGTTAAGTGGTGGAATGTGTTATGAAAGGATCGCCAAGATGTATGGACAAGTGAGAAGGATGTAGACAGATACATTTGAAAAAATATACAATGGCACTAGAGGAGAAGTTGAGGGGAACAGAGAGGGTACAGGAGGTACAGTACGTGTATTTAGTGATATGTAGTTTCTTGTGTCATGACCATCCTCTCAGAAGCTGCTCCCTGAAGAAGTCAGGTGTCACAGATAACAAATTCAGTTAAAGGTTTTACCAATCTTTCACTTCTCAGTCCCTTAATATGTCCACACTACATGATTCACTCTCAATTTGACACTTCTTTCAATCTTACACGTTCTTATGAATATATTTCTTGTTATTACCCTTCTGCTTACCCTTTATATTGCACTGAAGCATGTCTTTTTTTTTATTCTAATTCATATATCTTATTATTATTATTTTATTTTCTAGTTGTATGTAAAACTAAAAGTTAACCTACTCATGTGTACAATATGTATGAGAGAACAGCCGAGGGTTCCAATTCATGTAGATCACATCGTAGAAGTGGCACAAGCTGTCATAATCAATCCAAAAGACACCATTATCGAAAGTTTGGGCACTCTTTGGGTCATAGTTAAGAAGTTTACACATATCTGGGGTCCAGTGCTCCTGGTCCATTTCAGAGTAGTTTCCCTTCCAGCGTAGATGTGACCAAGGGTTCTTCAGCATCAGCAAATGTTTTCCCTGAAGTGTAGTACAGTACAAAATTAATAATAAGGAATGGGTACACTTAAAAGGTCCATACTTCATTTCTCATGAAAGCTAACACCCGTAATGCCATTTTCCATAACCAGTGGCGTAGCGAACCCAAGGTGGAACAAGTTAGCTTAGTATTAACGTGGTTCACTGACAGCTAAGTATACACCATGGCAGAATATCCCCCCCCCCCTCCCAACTTTGCCAGGTACAGGCTTGAATCCATGTCTCATAAAACAGGAGTCCAGAGCACTACTAACTGAGCCAAAAAAGTATTTTTTGCTGCTAAACATCCAACAGGATTCATCAATTGAAAGAAAAATATATCATATTCAGTTCATCAAATCTGGAGTATGTGTACAGTTGCTCAACACTACATGATAGCCAAACGACTGAATGAAAATAGTGATAATTTCAGTGTTCATATAATAATAGAGTAAAGACGAAAATACAGTTTAACAAATTCAGGGAATTAATTCTTATTCCACGTAATGAGTATGTTGTTTCATAGTATTCATACATATAAAAATGAGACATTAATCCTGAAACATCACTTTATGGCAGAGCCAGTGAGGAACTCTCTCTCATGACAACTGTTGCATTGAATGAGAAACTATGGGTCACAGTTTGACCTAAGACAGGAGAATGTAATAATTCATAACATCATACAGTTCATTCTTACTACAACACCGATTGCACTTGCTTCGACAGTTATACACCAGGTTTGCAGTACCAACCCCTTCACTCGAGACAAATTTCAAGAATATCCCCAGGAGGTAAATGGAATCCAAGTAATTCAGCTCTAGTTCAGCTGTAAAATGGGCTTTCAGGATCAAACCCTCATTAACATGATTCAGAAGCCAGTTATCAAAATGGGAGGAGGGTAGAAAAAAATTCAAGTGTTATGTGGCAGACACCCACAATTAGAGCCATTTCCAACATAAAAATAGGAAATAGGCACTCATCTTAAAAATTTCCAAAAGTCTATGTACAGTACAGTACAGTTGAGTCTAGATTTACGCGGTTTTTGTTTACACGTTTGGTCATTTACGCGGCACCTTGCCAGAATTAAATATTTTAATTACGCGGTAAATTTCATCATTTACGAGGAAGTATAATTTGTTTATTTACTGAAGATATATATGTTTTTAGCTCATAAAATATATAATTTAAATTGCTGGAATCCTTACAAGATGGTGATCATTTCAAATATAAACATCTTAACATTTGCATTAGACATACAAATTTTAGATGTACGGTAATGTAACGAGATGATGAAAATTAGCAAACATTTTATCTTTTGTGCAAAATACATGACGTTTACATTCAAAATATTCCCTGTCCTGCAAGGAATCCAGCAATGTCAAATATATTATCCTAACTTTAGTCTGAGGTATTATTTATTACTAAAAATGTAAATATACTGTTTAACCCAAACATTTCTCTGGTAGGGAGGGAAGGTGGAGGGAGGGAGGGAGGGAGGGAGGAAGGGACCCAGCAGCGTGGGAAGAGGGGGGGAGCAGGAGGTGGGGTATTTTGATAGACAGATAGTGTCTGGGTGAAGTATAATTTGTTTATTTACTGAAGAAATTTGTTTTTAGTTCGTAAAATTCATACAAATTACCCGGCCAGAATATAATTTACATTGCTGGAATTCTTACAAGAAAGTGATCATTTTAAATATAAACATCTTAAAATTTGCATTAGACATACAAATTTTAGATGTAATGTAAGGAGATGATGAAAATTAGCAAACATTTTATCTTTTGTGCAAAATATATGACGTTTACATTCAAAATATTCCCTGTCCTGCAAGGAATCCAGCAATGTCAATTATATTATCCTAACTTTAGTCTGAGGTATTATTTATTATTATACCTTAAAATCTAGTGTTTTCACCCAAACATTTCTCAGAGCGGGAAGAGCCAGCGAGCGTGGGGGGAGGGGGGCAGCTGAGTCCATTATTTGAATGGACATTAACTGGGCGACTGTATTTCTCTTAAATATTAATTGTGTGTGCATACCATCATAAAATTAAGATGTTATTTTTACTACAACGTAGGTATTGTGTCGGAAAAAGTGGAGTTTGGGGGTCGGCCCAGTCTCTATTTCAATTAATCCCATATGTTCTGTTATTTCATTTACGCGTTTCTCGTTTTGCGCGGGCCTCCACAGGTTCAATTGACCGCGTAAATGCAGACTCCACTGTATATGAATTCTGGTGATGACCCAAGTCTCAGGGTATGGGAACAAACTTTTTGTATTTAAGATGATAACTCATAAAATATATCCCAGAAATTAGGGTACCCTTCATATTCACACCTACCACCATTAACTCCTTAAAACTGGGTGACCAGAATATCTAGATAATCCACATTTGCAATTTGTAAAACTGAGGACACGAGCACAAGAGCCTGGGTCCATTTTCTCTGTGTGACTTGATATAATAGAATGAAGCTGAATGAAAATTGAAATTTTTTTTATTCAAGATGGTAAACTACACTGATTCAGCTTTGGGATCACAGGCAGAATTCAGGCAGAAGAGGAAACAAATAAAACTGACCCCAGTTATACCAGTCAAAGGGCAAAGCATCCACTCCGAGTGTACTCTCCTAAAACATAAGTGATAAAAAGACTGGAAGCCAGTGATTATCTAACATTTATGATTAAGTTCCCCAAAAAATGAAATAAGGAGAGGAACAAAAAGAAAGAATGTAGAACTAACACCCAATCACAAAGATTCATTCAATTCCTCAATAATATGCCTGCTCTGACAACATTCCAGCATTCCCATAGCAGCAAAGGAGAACTTTGATGTTCAAAAAATACTCCCATAATGGATGCAAACAACTGTGAATGTCTTCTCAATAAAAACCATACTTCTCCCCTATTTTCTACTTTGATGGCCATCATAAGAAATGAGAAGCAACAGAAGTTGTTTTAAGTCACTATGCAGAATTGTAAAAACTAGTTGACGGCTGCACCCTTATCCTCAAAGTCCTCTGAAGAATGGAAACCCCAACCTTGATTGGCCACACACATGTCCAAATCAACAAGTCACTCAAAGAAACATCCACAGGATTAGGGCAGACAAACATATTTTAGATGTCCACCAATAAAGCATCTTGGAATTGGCCAAGCCTGTCCCTAAATTTTGTCAGTAAAGATTGGTTCATCCTTAGCAATACCAACCATTACAAAAAGTCTCCCTAACTTCAATAATGAAACAACAAAATTCAACTTATTTACCAAGCATCCAAAGTGTCAGCATGAAATTATCTTCTGAGAAAAGAGAATGTGTAGTTCCTTAGGAACGGAGTGAATTTTCTCAGCTTGAAGACTAATCAACTCATTTTTAGTGTTACACTTGAGATCTAACCATAGAAAATACAAAACAATTCACTGTAAAGCTTACCCTGGTTAACATGAATCATTATTAACTTAATGAAATGAGCTTAGACTAGCCAATTATCTAAATGTGCAGAAAATAAGAGAGAGGGGAAAATATTCATGATTTTTTTAGAGATATTTACCACAAAAAATGGGAAAAAATAGTACAGAGACAAATAGCTAAAGGAGCAGCTGGGTATTGGAAGTACTGGCAAGGTTTTGGGTAGAGGTAGGCCGAGATGGTTTGAGCATGTACAGAAAGAATGGAGGAAAGCAATTGGGTCGAGAATTGCACGGGTTTGAATGTGGAGGGAAGCAAAGACAGGGGAAGGCCAAGAATGGCATGGGGAGATACTGATAATTTATCTCAAGGATAAACAACTGATTCACGAGGTTGAAAGAGACCAAGATGCCTTCAAGTAATCATAATTAACTCACGCAAGAATGGAAAATGGCCATAAAACGATGGCAATAAAATAAAAATAGAATCATTAATATTACATAAAAGCAAGAAATTATACACAATGATAATTATGAATTTTATGTTTACCGGTAACTCTTTAGCTGCATTTTCCGCACTTGCCGTTTTATTCTTGCTACTACCAGACGATTTTATTCAGCTTAGGGTAATCTACCACAGCCAAAGGGTTAACATGCTTTATGCTTAAGTACCATTCTAAGTAGGGGAAACAAACAATAACAAAATAACTAAGAATCAAGATAACACTTGAACAGTATTGTATGCTACTGCTACATGATGCAGGCTGACTTAGTGTTGGTGTGGGTACTCCTGTCTGAAGTGGGTTCCTAGTGATGAACAAACAAAAACAGGGTTCACCCCAGCAATAACACACCAACTTAACCCCTACACACAATATATTCAGATCTTTTCATGTTGGGGAAAAGTAAAGTTGACCCTTGCTATTCACAGGAGTTAGGTTCCACAAACCCCATGAATAATCAATATCCCTGAATAATATTAGTTGCCATAGTATTTAATAGATATTTGGGATACTTGAGTTACCCATAAAGACACCAATTCTGTCTATGGCATTGCAGTATGTTTTTCTTTAAGTACACATACATTGGTGAAAAACATTAACAAAACAATGAAATCTACTTATAAATATATACAATGCTGTATACAATATAGTGCACTATACAATATAGGTGTACTGAACCAGTTTGTACATTATGTTTGAGAAATTGTACTTGTGTCACCCATAAACACAACCGTAAATGATACTTCAGTATCTTTTCTTTAAATACACGTAAAATGGTCAAATTCATTAATAAAACAATGAAATCATCCATTATACTACATAGTAAGTATAAAATACGAAAAAATTAAGTGGAAAGGAAATTGTGTGTGACGGTGTATGGTGAGTGGCTGGGCTTTTATAACAACTATGAAATTTCCTTATAATTCCCATATTACTGTACAGTGGTTCCTTGGTTAACGAACGCCTCGGTTAACGAAATTTCGGTTAACGAATTACCTTCCATAAGAATCTTCATTTCGGTTAACAAACAAAAATTCGGTTAACGAAATTCTTACGAACATGTTTCAACATGCTTTGGCTTGCTCACCAGCTGGAAGATTAGTCCGCCAATACAGAAATCGGTTCTAGGACTTACATTCGTTAAAATTGGAGTAAATATCAAGAAGGTTGTAGTATTCAATAATTTTCCAACTTTTATATTAAAATTTTTAGTACTCAATAATTTTCCAACTTTTATATTAAAATTTTAAGTCATTTTAACACTTATTTAACATAATTGCAGTACAGGGAACTAGTTTTTGGTGCGCCCATCAGCCACTTCACTCACTCACCAAGGCCTAAGTTTGTATCACTGTTCAGTGGAGAAAACATCTTGCTTGTGGGTCTCTTGAACAGAGTATTTTTACATTTTTACAGTACAATTATTGGTCATTCTGAAATTTATTTAACATATTGACAATATATAGTGCAGTGCAGTGTTGATTTAAAGAAAATAATCTTGAATTACACCTAGTGAACTTAAAATTTTATGGGTGAAATGACGGCATCAAGGATGGGGTGATTTCTCTTCCACCCCCACTTCCTTCTCTTCTCCCTTCTCCTCCACCCCCACTTCTAATTCCCATCATCATCATCATCAACCAGGAGCCTTCTACATGCAAACCTCAAAGTAAGTGTACTTTACTGCATTTTTTTTTACTTTGTATGTAATTTTCAGTGAGCTGGAACGAATTATCCAAAATCCCATTGAAACAATGGTTTCGGTTAACAAAATTTTCGGTTCAAGGACGAACTTCTGAAACTAATTGTGTTCGTTAACTGAGGGACCACTGTACTGTACTTAGTTTCATTTGGTGCCAGGTTAATAAAACATCGTATAATAATAAATTTCCTGAAAAAATCTCAAGCTCAACCCCAGGTGAGTTTTTGAGTTTGTTTACATATGCGAACAGCTGGTCGGGCAGCCAGCAACCCCCGGTGTCTGCCTGTGTCTTATATTGTTTATTTATTTATTTATTTATTTATCTTTATCTGCATAATAGTATCACCCAGAGGATGATTATGAGAAGGGAAGGAATTGTTTATGTAATATAGAACTAATATTTTGTATCTCCAACCAACATTTTTTTCTTTTTTAATACAGTTTTATTATTATTATTATTTTTTTTTTATTTTATTTTTTTTTTACGAAATGAGCAGTGAAGTCGAAACAGCGAACCATAAAACTGAGAATGGTAAGGCTCTACTGTACATAGCCTTTTTTACACAACAAGGCAGTACTGGCTGGCCATGCATTTGATTGCCTTCACTTCTCAATAATAAAGTTACCGGTAGGTAACCAATCACAGTTGGGTGAACTAAAAGTTCTCCGTAATTGAACCAGGGACACTTTGACGAGGGAAGTGCTAAGTTCACTTGGTTATCACTCCCTAATGTAACAACTGCATAAAAAAATGTATAACAAAATAATTAGGACTACAAGAGAATGAAACATGCTACAGTACCTCAGGCACCAAGGAAGTGGGCCCAGCAAATGTTATGCATAGCCTTTCAATACATAAGTACTGTACATCAAATGTTTTTGTTCCTTACATAATTTCCTATAATATAGTGAAAACCAGGAAACAACAAATGCCATACTTGACAGTAAAGGGGTTACTGGAGTTCCTATATTTTAAAGAAATTATGAACACATGGTACAAAGGTCTTTCTGTTTTGTTATAAATACTCCTAAGGTTGTGAATTCCCCCATTCTTCAAATTTCTCAGTTATTGCCATTCTTTACAGTACAGTATACATTTACTCATCTGTCATTATATACAAAATACTGAAAAATGCTAACTGAATATTGTATCTCCTTAACACTGTTCATAAAAAATAAGCCTTACCTTCACTTCCTTAATATCAAGCATTGCATATGCATGAGTAGGCACTAGTCCAGCTCGGTCTGCTTCAGCATCACTCATCTCCCCAGTTGCGACAGTAACCAGTACATCACCACGGTGGAAGCGTTCAACTATCTTGCGAAACGTACCCTCCTTATTGAAATCCTTATCTTTGATAGACACACGCTCTGGTATCCAGCCCGTCAGAGCATAAAGGTCAATGTTACTATTAGATCCAGGAAAATCGTACCCACCCATGACCTTCAGGTACGACTTCTCAACCAAGGATATCCAAAATTCATTCTTATTGGTGGAATAAGAACACAGCAGCTCACCATGGTGCCCCACAGGCAATTTGTCATCTATAATAACTTTCCTTGGAATTCCATTAATATGAAGCTTGATCATGTATTTGCCACAGGGATTATACACAGGATCACCATTGCGGTTCTTGGGAAATATGATGTCTGTAATGAGTCTTTTCTTAAACCTTTTTTCATAGAGAGCACTGATAGCAACAGAAGCCACAAAGGAACAATCAGAAACACAAGTCTGCTTAATGCTGTAATAATCCACTACTTCAATCATTTTTGGGTCACTAGATATGTCCTCAGGTCGTGCCCACCTTGCAAAATTTTTCTTTTGTTTTGGTGCCAGGGGTAGGACACCATCCTTGTCATTAAATGGTATAGAAAAAGCAAATTTCTCCTTTAAATCAATAGCCAAAAAAGGAACATAATCCTGTCCATTCACATTGGAAGTCCTTCTTAACACATCTATTTCCTCCTTTGTGTATTCCGATTTACCAGACAGTTGAAGTCCGCTTTTGTTGGCCACAATTGGTCTGCCTGTGAAATAGGAGAAAATTACAAAAGGTGATAGCCATTAGGTTAAGAGGAAGATATAAAATTACAGCATTCCAAGCCACTAACTGACTAGCTATCCCTACGTCTCATATGTATTAGCAAAATCATAAGTTTCTCCCAATTGTAACCCACAGGGTGAGCTTTGGAAATTTTTAATGCAAAAAACAGTTTGACCTCAATTCTAAACTTCTCCCAGAAGTTGAACTATAGGGGGCAGTGAAATTTTGCTCAAAGCTGCACTCTTCAGGCATTGTTTCTTATACATGTCTAAGACTCCATGCCAAATTTGAAGCTGATATGTCGAGGTTTAGTCTGCCGCATTTTCTACTGAAATTTTTAAATTTACCTACAGTACTAGCCAAACAGCCGCTGTGGCGGTGCAATGTTCTGTTCAGTGTTTATCAACTTTTTTTTCATATCTCTTATTTCATTTAAGTTGTCTTGTTGCAGATGAGTATGGTGCTATGTCTATATTGATTATCAGCCTTTTCTCATTTCATTTCTCAATGTTGTATTACTGTACTGTAATGTAGGGGAGATGGCTAGTTTAGATAATTTGACGTCACTCTATTTTGATGGTAAGAAGACCGCCACTCGTGTGATGATAAAGAATGAGAAGACCGAGAAATGGAGTTCGAGGATGATGGTGAAAGATCATTATGTCATCATGGTTGAGCCTGGCACTGAATATCTCACACATGTGACTCCCAAGACTGGACACGGAAAGCAGATTGCCAAAACTATTCACGAGTTTCTGGTGGAGAAAAATCTAACCCAGCAGCCCATTGTGTGTGTTGGTTGTGATGGAACCATTGTAAATGTAGGATCAGAAAATGGAGTCATTCATCATCTTGAAATGTTACTTGGTCACCCGCTCCATTATTTCATATGTCAGCTTCACGGAAATGAGCTGCCTTTCCGCGCAGTTTTTTATCACTATGATGGTAAACCAAGTGGTCCTGAGCATTGGCGTGGTCCCATTGGAAAGCAGATCAAGGAGTCTTTGTCTGAGCTTCCAGTTGTCGCCTTCCAGCCAGTCAGTTTCCCTGATTTCCCTGTGTTTAATGATGAAGTGGAGAAAGATCTGTCCTGGGATCAGAAATACCTGTATAGGATTTGTAAAGGAGTTATCACAGGTGTTGTTGAAGATGACTTGGCTGCTATTGAGCCAGGTCCTCCCTGTGTGTCAAGGTGGAACACCTTATGGAGTAGAATCCTCAGGCTGTATGTAGCAACATCAAGACCCAGCCATGAGTTGAAAAGAATTGTCATTACAATAATAAAGTTCAGTGCTCCAATGTGGTTTTACATCAAGATACACCCTTACGTAACACACGGCTCAAGGAACGTATTCCAGTCCCTGCTATATATGAAACACCTGAATAGTGAGGAGGAGACGATAGTGAAGAAGGCTGTCCAGAGAAATGCATACTTCGCCCACACAGATCAACTTCTTCTTGGTATGTGTGCAGATGAGGACATGACTGTTAGAGAAAAAGCTGTCTCAATGATAAGAAAAATTAGAGAGGAGAATCAGCAAAAGGAAGAATGCACTGGCAGATCTGAAGAGGAGGAGGAAGATTCTGATGCTGCTGTTGACGAGAATTTGTTAAACTATACTGATGAGGAGGGTAAAGATGGAGATGGGAATGAAGATGTGCCTCCTGTAGTCAACATGAGAAAGGTGGTGACTCCGAAACTAAAGTGGCAAGCAAAAAACTATCATTCCATGATTAACTGGAGGAATGAACTCAAGACTGAGCCTCCTTACATTGCTTCTCTGTCAAATCTACAGGTTAATGACATTCTTGAGACACCATTAGTGGTGCCCAAGTGGCCAAACAGCACTCAGGCGGTCGAGAGAGGCATAAAAGTGATGACTGAAGCTTGCATTGAAGTGACGGGATACGAATCGAGAGATGGATATATTAGGCAAAGATTATTGTCTAGGAAAATGATGCCAAGGTTCCGCACAAAAAAGAATTTCAATATGAACTTGAAATGATTTTCTATACGGTGTACCTGTAAAATAACATGTGAATTAAATCGATGTCACCCATGTAAAATTTATCATTATCCTGGAAAACATTAAATGACACCTAATTTTTGGTATACAGGTACACTAAAAGTTGACAAAAAGTCGTTCGCGATGCGGCAGGGTAAGTATGCATGAAATGGCATGAAATTTTGCACAGGTGTTTGTTACAGCCATACAAACGATGCCTGAAAAGTGCAGCCTGCAACTCAAATAAAAGTGTTTTTTCCCTGCCCCCTATTGAACTATCACTTTAACCCTTCGGCTCAGGCTATAGGAATGTTATTCATTAGATAAATACATGTATTATTTTTTTTAAAAAATACATATCTTTGTGTATCATGTATACGCTGGAAGTTAGAAGCGTTGAAGCTCAGAACTGTAGTTGGTGAATATACAGCACTCTCATTATACTGGGAACAAACAACAATAAAACTGAAAAAAGAAAACATTCCTGTGGATATCAATACAGGTATCCCTCATTTAGCATTAATTCACTTAATGTTAATTCAGTTTTGCAATAGCTTGACTCACTAGGAATGGGAAAAACTGTGGAGGAGGTGGCCTGTGAGATGGCATCTTGCCATTGCATTGCTACATTATATGAAATTATAAAAGTCAGGGAAAATCATTACAATACTGTACTCTAATGTATCTTAGAAATAAAGAAAATATATTATAAAACTATAAAATAAGAAAAATTAAGAGCCTGGGTGTGTATGTGTGGAATGAACATACATGCAGAGGCAATGGGCAGTAACTACATCACCAACTCGCTATAGCCACATCCCCCTAGCCCTCTCCCTACCACTCCAAGCCAAGTTGTGAGCTATGTTATACTGTACTTACACGTATATATTTTTTAATGTTACAAGCACACATAATCTTACATACAGAATGTGAAAAAAAAAAACTATCATAAGGTTAATAACATAAAAGGGAATAAACTTTCTTCATGAGTTAACCCATAACTGGTCATCAGCATTCAAGTATGTGATCCCCCAATGTTCATGTTCTAGAACATTTTCTAAATATATTTTCTCTGTGTTTTTAAAACTGAATCTAGCTACCATAATCTGTCCCGGATTGGTAGGGGTAGGTGAAATGGAGGGAGTACTGGATGTTCCTGGAGATGGGACAGGCAGCAACCCTCTCTCCTCCAATTGCCACTCATCATTGTCGTCTTCATTGCTTCCCTCTTGTTCAAACACATATTCCCGGTCACTATCATTATCATCACCTTCAATATCACTATCAATACTTGCAATACTGCATGGTTACATCCACCCACACTCCTTCCTCCCCCATACACTAGCTCCCTCCCTCCCATACTCCTTCCTCCCTCTCACACTTTTTTCTCCTTCCTACACTAATCCCTCCTTCCCAGAATGCTCCCTCCATCCCACACTGTCCCTCCCTCCCACACACTTCTTTCTTCCCAGAATCCTTCCTTCCTCCCACACTTCTTCCTCTCTCCTACACTACCTATTGTTATAGTAATCTAAGTACAATACAGGCAGTCCCTGACTTACGACGGGGTTAGGGACCCAAATCCAGGTTGTAAGTCGAATTGGTCGTAAGTCGAAAATGCGAAAATAATACATAGAAAATCTAAAATGGGTGTCTCTTTTTCTTCTCAGCACCACAAAACTCTAACTTTTAAGCTTGCCAGCCAATTTAAAGGGAATTACAAACGAAAATTTTGTCAGTACACAGAGCAATCACTAAAGTCGGGACTCGAAAATACGTAATTTGAAAAGATTTTGGTACAACTGGGGCGGTCGTATGTCCGGGTGGTCGTAAGTCGAATAGGTCGTAAGTCGAGGAGTAGCTGTATAAGCAAATAATATGAGTAAAAGTGTAAGGAAAATAAACCGAGGGAGGGCAAATACCTTCCCTGACCTTGAGTGTGCAGTGCTGTCGCTTGTAATAAAAAACATCCATATGTTTACTGCATGAATCTTTTTTAGGTACAGTATATTCATAGTTTTTTTTGTGCGAAAAAAAAAATAATTATACATACACATGGCTACAAGACCAACCGGAAGTACTGTAACAGGATTGGGAGCCAGTAGGCCTAGCATACTGCACCAGCCCCGGATTTAAATGCCAAGTAGTGCTTTTAAACGAGGCGAGTTGACACTTTTACAAGTATTTCTTGATTTCTTAGGTCATTTTGGGGTGTTTGGACCATAAAACAAAAATTTGATTTTTCCCAACCGGGGGAGGGTGTACCATGTATGTATAATAATGTGACCTTATACAGATTAAAGAGTTCAGGCTAAGCGAGGAGTTAGGGATCTCAGCTGTTCTGAGCTGTCTCCCTTGAGTAGTGAAACGATTGACAAATTTCTCTGTCCAGCAGCCAAATGGGAATAGAGTATCTTTTTTTTTTAGTGTTACAGTATTTTGATTTATTCCTCATATTTACTAGTACATACATATTATTTCATCTTATTCCTCACAGGAGTTGGTAACTGACAGAAATTCAGAATCAGAGTTGGTGACACTGTTCATAGCGTCAGATGTTGTGGTGATAGTCACGGCCAAGTCACGTTGATGTGAATCTGGTGTCTTGCTACAAATTATGTCTAGGTTTATACTTAGTATTTCTCAAATGCTACAGTCGAATTATACAAGAGATATATGAAAAACTCAAGACTTTTTTACCCCAAAATCAGGAGTCATACTATACAGTACAGTATATGATATCAGTTTATACACTAGTATATACAATACCTCTTATTGAAGTCTAAAAAGAATTCTGTTGGTTTACTCACCTACAGCTTGAGGTCTGGAGTTGACCAAGTTACCAATACCCAGAGGAGGGATGGCTCGTGTTGGTGAGACTTTTTGTTGATGTTGTGGTCTGCTTGATGCTTTGTCTTCAGCCACACCTGTTGTAATATATTTAATTAATGATCTGTGATGTCTATCTTAAAGATCATTACAGTTTAAATCTGCTAACAGAAGAAATGAAGAAGGTCCATATAACCTGGAGAACAAAAGAAGAACCATATTTGAGTGACTGATCCAGAGATCCCATTTTATAACCAAGCATGGATTGGACATCTCTTGTCCTGCATTAACCCTTTAACTGCTCATTATGTCAATGTGATTCATCCTCATGTGTGCATTACTGTATTTCAAGGATATTCAAAGTTTTCAAAATATAATAATAAGCATATCAACAGTTACATATGGATGAGATCAAATACAGTGCATGAAAGCTGCACTCACTTTGAATAGAGAAGTATAGAGGAGTGAAGTGAGCTAGTGTGGAGGTCCCGCCCTGGAGTGGGGACTGGGAGTGAGGGTACCAGTAGTGGTGGGGGTGTTGAGTGAAGGCGTTAGGACATGTGCATCAGTTTTCTAAGACTAAATTATATGGGCAGCTTTACTTCCCTTCAACAATTTTTGAACAGTAATTTTTTAACAGACTTATTAAACATTTCACCACTACTCGAATTTCTATAAAATCTTGTACAGGGTACTGTATGATGTGTGGGTGGCTTAGGACAGTGGATCATGAGTAGCTAAGGCCTAGGGAGTGTCCAGTGTTTGAAAAATTGGCATGTACATCTTGATCCCCAATTGGGGACAGAAGCGGTCAGCAACACCCATCCACAATGGGAGACAGGAGCAGTTAAAGAGTAAAAAAGCTTGTAGGCGGAGATCCAAGGCTACCAAAACCTCTCAACTTCTGGGACTCGGCTATACTCCAAAATCCAATAAAAAAACTAGAAAACCAGAGATAGGCTCTCTCTCAATTGACCTACAGTCCCAAAAAAGTTTTGCACTGGTGAGTCACTTGCCAGAAGGAGTGCCAAGACTCTGTAGTTGCAATTCTGCACATGCAACCTGCAATCTAGGCAGGCCAAAGAACAGAACACAATCACAACTGTCCTCCAGTTCCCAGCCAATATCAGCAACCCCCAGGGAGGAAAAAGGAACCTGAGATGACTAATTCATGGTATTTTATATTTTGGGATTTCAGGAACAATCATTCATCATAACTAATACAGTAAAAGTCCAAAAATCCAGATGCCAGGAATCCGGACCACCCGAGAATCCGGACTTTTCGAAAACTCAAACTTTTTAAATTTAGCGGGCTTTTGTGGGTTATGTGAATGAATGGAGTTGCTTTAAAAAATTAATTTACATAATTCTAATAATAAAAGTAATTGTAAATTATAGGTAGCTAATTTTGTTAGTTTTGTAATTAGCTTGAACTGAAATGTAAAATTTGAGGCACTATAAATCTTTTGTGTGTATGTGTGCATGCGTGAATGCCACAGCTGCACAGCGACAACAAACGACCACACGATCGCCACTTTAAAACAAGCAATCAAACTGTGACAACGTATGTAATTTTGAGTCCTACTCTTTCCATGTACAGAGTACAAGCCCATAATAATGGCCCCTAAAGTAGATAAACTTCGTTGTGTGAAGAGAAAGAAGAACACATTGAAATTGAGTGACAAACTTGAAGTAATTAAGAAACTAGAATGTAATGTGAGCAATGCTGTTCTAATGGAAACATACAACATTGGAAAGTCTACAATTTATGATATAAAAAAGGCAAAGAATAAAATTCTAGAATTCACAGCTTCTTCTGAGCCTTGCATTAAAATTGCTGAAAGAAAAAGTTTACATTGGCCCAAATTAGAAATCTTGATAAAGTGTTGCACGAATGGTTTTTGTTAAAACGATCAGAAGGTATGGCAATTTCTGGGCCGATGCTTATTGCCAAAGCAAAGTCTTTTAAGGAGCAAATGAACATTGAATCAGAGTGCGCATTTAGTGATGGATGGCTTAGGAATTTCAAGACTCGTCATGGTATTAGACAGTTTGTTTACATTTTTGTCTAGTGTTGACTTCATTTTTCTTTAAAACTGCTCGTTTTGATAAATGAAGCAAGCTTTATTTGCTAATGAATAAACTATCAAAATGTACCTGTTCATCTCTTCTTTATTCCTCCTTAAATTTGAATTTTAAAAGTACTGCCTGAGAATCCAGAAAATCCGGACCGACCCAATCCCCAAGCAGTCCGGATTTTTGGACTTCTACTGTAATGAGGATTAGGAGCGCTCAAGCCAGCCAATACAGTAGAAAGACACAAATTCCAAGTATAACATGACTTACACCTTTTATTCCCATAACACCCACCCACACACACACACACACATGCACCTGTAAGCATGACATCTTCCTAAATCTTGGCCCCGAGGCCTCTCTGAGAGGGCAGCCACCATCACACAGGGGGTTACAGAGGCTGATTACATTTCACTCCTTTTTTATCTAAATATCAGTAAACAGGTTGAGATTTTACAACTATGCAGTGGCTTTATAGTTGCAATATTAACACCTGTATTTCTATTCAATACTGTATGTGTGTAAGCACAGGAAATTTTCAGATCAATAGACCGAAGAGATGGAGTGTTTATACATCACTCAAAAACATGAATACTGTAGTGGAAGAGTGGAAAATATAAGTTTGTTTGTTTGTTATCCATAGCTCAGTAAGATGGTGTTGGGCTAGGTTTTTGTTGACTGGTTAGGAGTTCATGGAGAGAATTAAGATCACAAGAGGAACACATACAACATTTTGTGTACAATCAATGGAAAACACAGAGATTTGTAGTTCTGACATTTATAATGAGAATGACTAGTAAAAAAGTTAATTATTTTTCATTGCCATCTTTTCTGTGAACTACAGTACTATGCAGTGCTCACCTGCTGCTTCTCCTGTCTCCTGTTCCTTCAGGACTTCAGCTCGGGTCAGTGCTTGTTCAGCCAATTTCCGCAACTTGTCTGTTATCTTAGCATTACTGGCATTTTTACACTGCAGAGAAAAACACAACTCAGTTTATATTTATATCTTATAAACTAATGCTTCTTAGTGTCTTATAATAACAATAGCAATGACCTAAAAGTATACTGCACTTTCACTCTATTACCTGGTACAGTACGTGTCACATCACTTTTGTTCCCATCTGCTTTGCAGTTTTAGTTATTCCCATAATCATAATGTATTTCAGTTCATTTATCTCAATACTCCTCTATGTGATCTACACCTGTGTCACTGCTTTTTCCCAACAAGGTACAACTCCATCTAGAGCCTAAATTTGCATTACCTTGTCATGGAGTGGGGGCTTGAATGAACCACTATAAAATACCTGGAATGGGTATATAGTTCCCATTCCCACCTTGACTTCAAATGAGGAGGTTAAAGTAGATCATACTAAACATGCAAATTCCACAGGTGATGGGGCTGGTTTACCAGAGTAAGGTTTGAGCGATCTCTACACCCCATAATTTATTACCAACTTTTTCTACTCCCTTTAATTAGTATTCTGATGAGAAAAGATTTGGGGGGATCCATTCTCATAACTTCATCTCTTGCCCTTGAACAACCATGGACAAACACAATAAATTATTCTTGGGTGTTCCTGTTGGATTATCGTCATCTAAAGGTCCAACCACATTGCCTCCTGTGCTTGTGGGCATATCGTCATCTAAAGGTCCAACCACATTGCCTCCTGTGCTTGTGGGCAGTGTCCAAACAAGCTAGCAAGTACTGTCCAAGTAAAACAAAGCCTATTAACACAGAATTAAGATTGGAACATGAAATGAGAGGACATTACATGAGGCTGGTAAGTACCATGCAAATGTTTGTAGGGAAATGAAAAGACTGCAATGAGACATTCTGGGATTAAGTGAAGTAAGATGGACAGGTTCAAATAGCATTAGTGCCTAGAAGTGGAGATTTTTATTTCATATTTTCAGGTGGTGAAAAGCATGAGAGAGGTGTTAGTAATTTTGTAAACCAGAAGTTGAGCAGTAGTGTAAAGAATCATTTGACAAAATCACATAGTTTTGTTAGTCAAGTTTAATGCTAAATCCATAGACTTAGTATTAATACAGGTTTATGCACCAACAAAATGATAGTGGGAACGAAGTCTTAGAAAAATTTTATGAAGCTTTACAGAAAGCAAAAGACATTGTAAAGTTTAATAAATGTCTGATTATAAAGGGTGATTTTAATGCAAAACTTGGGAAAGGGAAAGAAGCACCAGAAGTAGGACCACATGGGTTGGGTAATAGACATGAGAGAGAAATATTAATATACTTTTGAAAAAAAAAAGAAAGATGATAATTGCAAACACAGCAGAATCCTGGTTATCTACCATCCAGGTAACTGGCAGATTCAACTAACCTCCACCAAAATGAAATAATAGTACTGTACTGTTTAAAAAAAAAAAATTATTTTTTACAAAATCAGCTAGAATCCTAAGTTTGAATACCACGCACAACAGGGATGATCTCCCATATTAAGTGCTATGATAAACAATAACATTAATACATTGCATATCATAAAATACAATTCTGTAGCACATATTTTATGTAAAAAAAAAATAAAAAAATAAAAATAAAAAAAGCTCCTTCCACACTCCAACCATCCTCTGGCCAATGTGACACAATTAAACCAAGCAGTCAACCAGCTGACTCACAGACTTGTGGCTGCCATGCTGGATGTGTGTATGCCATGACATCAGTTCGGGACAGAGTGCGGCCAAGCAGTTATAGCCCTCTGTTTCCACATACAGTACAATCACTTCCAACACATACACACCCATGCTTTTATTATTTTATAGTTTTACAGGTATATAATATCTTCTTTATTTCTAAGCCACATTAAAGTACAGTACAGTATTGTAATGATTTTTCCTCAACTTTTATAGTTTCATTACATGTAACAATATATGAGGCAATTTGGATGGCAAGTCAGCAATGCAGTTATACAGGGGTCCTCATTAACCATGGATCCGCAGTTACAAGCCCAACTTTTTGAAGAACTACAGGTATATGTAAAAATTCACCTAACTTAAGAGAATTATACAGATGAAATCCATCCGCAAGAGCATATGTGCTTGAAATTCCAGTCCCCCTCCCATTCTCTCAAAGTTCATCCTTCTCACCCATGCCACACATGTGCAGTAACAGTCACGATAGTCCTCAAGCCTGATTTGAAAGGGCTCCTACGATTTTTTTTTACTTTGTTGTGCCCTTGGTGACAATGGTGGAATTTTTTTTAGCCATGAGTTCCAAATTGAAGCAAGGTGGTGTAAATTCTAAAAGAAAGTGTAGTAGCTATGGGATGGACGTGACTGACCCCCAAACAACTTTAATTATGTTAAATAAGTTATAAAGTATAATAATTTCACAAAATAATGTGAAATCAAATGTTTAACAAATGTTTCTAAGGTACATTCTGTACAGTACAGTACTATAGTCTCAGTTTATGCGGATTTTTTATAAGCGGTTGGTCATTTACGCGGCACCTGTCCAGACGCGCCAATTATTAGTTACGCGGTACATTCCTCAATTTACGCAGGAAGCGGTGCGGACAAACTGCGCGCTAGGTCGCTCTTACGTCACCACTGATGTCAGATGATGTTTCGGACTGTGATTGGGCCACGCATCCTTACCACCCACGCATCCCCTCAGCCGCGAGCTGTGATTGGTCTATTTAACCTTGCTTGCCCAGTCAACAAAACATTACCGAGTTCTTCACCCGCCACAGCCAGCCCAAGTCAGTGATAGTGAGGATATGGACTTTGAGGGGTTTAACAAGGAGGCCCTGCTAGCCTCTGTGGTGGATAGTGATACAGGTGATACAAGTGATACAGGTGAGGGCCAATAACCTGCACTCTGCCTCGGAACCAACCCCCCCATCCCCTGTGTGCCCAGCCATTTCTTCTATTAACATAAGTGTTAAAAAACCTAATATTATTGATATTTCTCTTAAATATTAATTGTGTGTGCATACCATCATAAAATTAAGATGTTATTTTTGCTACAACGTACGTATTGTGTCGGAAAAAGGGTAGTCTGGGGGTAGGCCCAGTCTCTATTTCAATTAATCCCATATGTTCTGTTATTTCATTTTCGCGTTTCGCGTTATAAGCGGACCTCCATGGGTTTAATTGACCGCGTAAAACGAGACTATACTGTATATGTGAAAGATATCTAGTTAAACTTTTTGAGTGCCATGGTTCCAATTAGAACCTATTCCAATTAATTCTTATGGGAATTAATTGCCTGTTACCCGTGGAATAACTATCTGAGTCTTTTTCCTGGTCCCTATTAAGCTCGAATAACGAGGATCCCCCGTAACCCACTGCCTCCACATATTCAGTTCTCAATATACATACCCATGCTCTTCCTTTTTCTTATTTTACATTTTCTTTATTTCTAAGCCACATAGTTTATATAGAGTGGAATAAGTGTTCAAGAAGTCAAATTCTCTGAGAAAATATTTGAGGTTAGCCTGTAGCACTGTGTATTGTAGGTTTTATTGGGGGATCCTAAGAGTGAGGCTCAAGTAACTGGAAAATCTCTTTATCCGGTACCACTCAACCCTGTAGGTGTTGGATAACCGGGATTCCACTGTAGAGTACATGGTTTGAATAACATCTTAGGCATCTCTATACAAGGATCTCACTGAGCTTCTGTAAGTGTTAAACTGTCTGTTAACACATTAATAATTCTTCTTTCCACTATGAATACACCGGCTCCTACTACACCTGAGATCCCTAGTCCGAGAATTGCTGTTCGACACCACAACCGCATCCAGCCCATACGTGCACGAACTGATCGCTATAAGAACAGCCCAGTCCCAACCATTGTAAAAATTATCAATAACTTGTAATAAATCAGTGTATTCACTCCCAGTAAACACTACTCCTTGCACTGTCACTATGTTGAAATGAACTGCAGTTTGAGCTTTTCCCCATCTAGTTATTATATGTCTTATTTGTGTCACTTATGTTACTTTTATATTATTTGTAATTCGTAACCCATTCCCCAAATATGTAACTGTATATTTTCAGCCTTCTGGCTGCCAAGCTCTTTCAATAAACCGTTAATTATTATTATTATTACTAGTCTCTGGGGGTCCAGGAGTTTGGCTCCAACAAGAAAGATGTTGCTCAGAGCCTCAGTCTGACATTTCCATAACTTAAATTTATTGAGCTAGGACAAGTGTATACAACCATACCAATGGTAAATAAAATTCATTTCTAAAACAGTTCACAGTTTTGCCTTAAACATATTATGTGGTAGATAATGATTGTGGTGCTGTTACTTTTAGTTAAATTCATAAATACATTTTTTAATATATTCTAATTCTAAGTAACTTACTTTTTTACTTAACCGAGTTTGGCAATAATAGTGATCATAACATAAGTGTAATAAAAGTATAACTTTAAAAGTCAAGATAAAACATAATGAACAGGACTCACAGCCTCAAGACAAAGTTGAACAGCATTGGAGTAAAGTTCAATGGCTTCTTCAGCATTTCCTGCCTCATCTTCATCCAATGCCTCCAACAGGAGAAAGTTAGCTCGACTCAGCTCACTCTGACCACCTTCTTTGGTCACTTGTGCTGACTGAGCTTGTGTTTCTGCATAAGAAATAAAAAAATTTATTTCAATAAGACTGTGCATAAGATGCATGTGACTGGCAGAGTGAACAGGGATGAGTGGAAGATGGAGGAAATTCTCAGTGGTATATCTGTTGTACTTGAAATGACAAAGATAATCAAAATTACATGGGCTATACAATTATGTGCTATGTCCACAATTATTATTCCTCATAATCTCTCATTTAGGGTATTTTTTCTCATTATCCCTCGTTTAGCGATCATTTCACATTAACGATTGGTTTTCAGGAACACATCCCAATTGTTACACGAGGGATACCTATACAGTACTGTATTCCACACATCAGCATGTTTGGCCAGACGATGGACATCTTTCATGCGATTTTTTTTTTATTATAAATAAGAAGGTGGTCTTAAAACATCACCAACATTAAAGCGAAATATTGTAAATAGAGGGATCATAAATAAAAATTTTCCTGCAATTAGTTTGGTTCTGGAGGCCACAAAAATTCACAAAAACTGTTCCAAAACTACTTTAATAAACACTAAACATCATACATAATACATAAAAAATATAGAAACACAGATATTAACCAAAAAGTAGTTCTACATTATATAAACAGCTTCTTCCCTTCTTCCAAAACAGTACACAAACAGCGTGACGCTGAGCTGTATGGGTGGGAGTGGGGTGGTATCACCAGTGGAGGGGTGCCGTAGTGGTAGGCGCCCATGGCTGTCGACAGTGTGAGGGAGGGGAAATTCTCATATCGCTGTAAATACAAAATAAAAAAAAATTTCAGCTAAGCTTTATTTTCTTATAGTGTATTGAAAAACAAATTTTTGTTTGTTCACTAGATTTTACTTAGCAACACGCTAATTCACTTGACAAAACTTGGCTATTAAAATTCAGACACTTTTTTACATCAAAAGTTAAACTTACCAGCAGAAGCTACGTAGTAGCTATGCAGCATGTAGTAGGTTCATTCAGATGTTAGTACCCCTTTGATCACTTTCACCTTCAATTCATTAGCAACATAGTGGGTACGAATAATGTGCATCAATTTCATATAATGCATGTACAGCATTTTACAAGTCCTTACTGTACAGTACAGTAAACCCTCAAAGATTCAGACCCAGTAAATCTGGATTTCAGAAGATTCAGACAAAATTTTGGGTTCCAGGGGCTAAGAAGCCTCCCTAAGAAGTACTATTCCCAAAACAGAGCAAAGATCATCTTAGGCCCGTGAAACTAAGATGTCAGCGCGCAGGACACAGGTGCCCGAGGCAGGAAGCATAAACAGAGCTGTCAATTGTTGTTTCTGGGAATATTACAGTACAGTTATTCCTCGACTTACGACCTACTCGACATACAACCACCCGGACATACGGCCGCCTCAGTCGTACCAAAAAATTTTCAAATTAGATACATATTTTCCAGTACTGAAACGTTTCCGTCCAGTACGAGAGTGTGGCGTGGGCTAGGCCGCCTCGTGGTGTACAGCGTCCACGCCATAGCGCGCTCAGTTGGTGTTTGGACGTCGTTGTTATCGGTAGTGATCGCGCTGTGTACTGACAATATTTACAATATTTTCGGTTCTAATTCCCTTTAAAATGACTGGCAAGCGTAAAAGTGAGAGTTCTGGTGGTGCCCAGAAGAAACAAATGGCAGAGGCATTTGCTACTATTAATAAGGGGATGCAAATGTTTGACGAAATGGATAAAAATATTGAGCGTTTTGCAAAAGTTGACAGAATGATCCAAGATGCACTTGCTTGCTACAGGGATATTTACAATGAAAAGAAAACGCAAACTGTGCAGTCTAAATTGGACATATATTTTAAAGAGTCCCCCACTGCTGTTTCCTCACGCCCCACCAGTGTTGCCTCTTCACTCCCCAAAGATGATCCAATACCTTCAACAAGCAAGTATGTTAGCCTCTCTGAAGAAAGCGACATTGATGACCCATCCAGCCCTGTCTCCTCCTCTGCTTCATCCAATTAATGTAGTCTCCATGTTTAATTAAAAAATTATTGAGGCCCCGTGTGCATTCAGCTGACTACATTAAAGGTAAGTGCACAGTAACACTGTATATTCATTCTTCATTATTGATTACTTTTACTGTATGCTGCATTTCATATTAGATTTTTTATGTACAGTCAACCCTCGCTTTACGCGGTCCCACATTCCACGTTTACGCGGTACCCTGCTGAAACAGGAATGCTCACATTCCGCGGTGCGTGTACCCCTTTACGCGGAGAGCGGCTAGCGAGCCGCGCCATCTTTGGATCCAAACCTCCCGCCCTCTCCCGCCATCCGCCATGTTGTGTAAGCGGCGCGAGCATGGTGCGCACAAGGTCGCCCAGTCATCAAAACATTACCAAGTTCTTCACCCGCCACCTACCACAGCCGGCCCAAGTCAGTGATAGTGATAATTAAAGTGAGGATATGGACTTATATGGACTTTGAGGGGTTTGACTAAGAGGCCCTGCAAGCCTCTGTGGTGGATAGTGATACAATTGATACAAGTGATACAGGTGAGGGCCAATAATCTGCCCTCTGCCTCGGAACCAACCGCCCATCCCCGTGTGCCCAGCCATCTTTTCTACTAATGTAAGTGTTAAAAAACCTAATATTATTGATATTTCTCTTAATTATTAATTGTGTGTGCATACCATCATGAAGTTAAGATAATATTTTTACTACAACATAGTTGTGTGTCGTCAAAAAGTGGAGTTTGGGGGTTGGCCTGGTCTCTATTTCAATTAATCCCATATGTTATGTTGTTGACTTTACGCGTTTCTCACTTTCCGCGGTACCCTGTGGGTTGAATTAACCGCGTAAAGTGAGGGTTGACTGTATTATTTTTTGCATTTTCGACTCACGACCTGGATTTGGGTCCTTAACCCAGTCGTAAGTCAGGGACTGCCTGTATTTCATTCACTCTAGTAATGATACAATGTTTCTTATTATGGTACCATAGCTAAATGCATGGTTTATATAATTTGTTTATCACTGTGCCCATCACTGTTTTGAAATTAGATTACAAAATGTGTACAGTATTACCCCGCATTACGAGTTATATTTTACGCGTTTCCACGTTTACGCGGTACCCTGCCAGACCCGGAATGCTCACTTTACGCAGTGCATGTACTTTTTTACGAGGAGAGCGGAGCGGGCAGGGTGCGCACAAGGTCGCCCAGTCATCAAAACATTACCGCGTTCTTCACCCGCCACCCACCACAGCCGGCCCAAGTCAGTGATAGTGAGGATATGGACTTATATGGACTTTAAGGGGTTTGACAAAGAGGCCCTGCAAGCCTCTGTGGTGGATAGTGATACAATTGATACAAGTGATACAGGTGAGGGCCAATAATCTGCCCTCTGCCTCGGAACCAACCCCCATCCCGTGTGCCCAGCCATCTTTCTACTAATGTAAGTGTTAAAAAACCTAATATTATTGATATTTCTCTTAATTATTAATTGTGTGTGCATACCATCATAAAATTAAGAAGTTATTTTTACTACAACGTAGGTATTGTGTCTGAAAAAGTGGAGTTTGGGGGTCGGCCCGGTCTCTATTTCAATTAATCCCATATGTTCTGTTGTTCACTTAACGCGTTTCCCGCTTTACGAGGGCCTCCGTGGGTTCAATTGACCTAGTAAACGAGGTTTCACTGTATTTCTCCCTTACGCATTTCGATCGTACGCCTGGCAACGGGAGCCTGGGATCAAGTGAGTGACCGCTAATTACAGCGCCCTATGCAGTTGTAACTCTCCTCACTCTCTGCCATATTTCACTGGATTTACTGTTATTATTAGTGTTTACTGATATAATAGTGCTTAATAGTGATTAATCATGGCATTATAGCCAGGTTAGACTCGTCACTGTAACCACCAGGCTACTGGGCAAAGATATGAGGTGTTATGGTTGTTTTTCAACTCGTATTTTTAGGTAGATATACGTAACTTTCTTCATTTATTTTTACTCATTTCCATGCACACACCATCCAACATACATATTGTGAAAAAAGTAAAAGATAAAATTGTCTTGAGGGGAAACATGCAACAGGAGGAGAGCAGAAGAGTGTAGGGGGTGGGGAGTGTTGCTCGGGAATCGACGTCCCAGCTGGTCTTTGTTACTATGGTAAAGCAGGGAGTGTATGCAAATGGCGACTGTGTTAAACTTTTATTTGGCTTTTATTTACTAATTTGGCAATAGAGTATTTTTTGTTGTAACTTATTTATTGGTATGATTTTTATTTATTCCTCACACTTCCTGGTACAGGAGGCCCCCAAAATTCGTGGGGGTTAGGTTCTCAAAATGGTCGCGAATCGCCAAATCCGTGAATAACATTTGCGGACGAGGGGGGAGGGGGGACATTTTTACTTGTGTACAAAGAAATGTAATTTCCCTTTGTGTTTACCCTTAGGACAATTATTTCTTTTATATTATATATGTGTGTGTGTGTGTGTACAGTATGTGTGTAGACACACACACAAAACACATACAAATAAATGATAATGGGAAAATACTCACAAATAATCAGAAAAAAATTATCAAAAATGTGACAGTCTACTCTCCAGTATGTGCTTTCTTAATAAAGTGATAAAGCACGGACTTGAGGGTAGACTGTCACATTTTTAATATTTTTTTTCCGATTATTTGAGAGGATTTTCCAAATATTATATATTTGTATGTATTTTGTGGGTGTGTCTACACACATACACATATTTACAATTCAGGAAAAGGAAATTACTGTTTCTAGAACAATGGCTCGGTGTTCGTGCCGCGAAAATGCCAGCAACTTTAAAACTACCCACAGACATTCTTGCATACATCCAGGGTGTCATCTGTGAATAATAGAGAACCGGGAAATAAAAATCCGCAAACTTGAGGTGCCCCCTGTGCTGTATATATTATTTTAAGAAAACTATGGCTACAGGAAGAAAATACACACAAAAGTTTTTTCCTAAATACTCCCTGCTAAAATGGGGGGTGCTTTTTATATGCCGTAAAATACGGTACTGTATTTTTGGTGTTTTTTATATAATTATTTATAATTTTTCTACATTTAGTACATTCGCTGGAAGATACGCACAATCAGCTTTTTCGGACAGGTGGTCCCCCCTTTAGTCTGGATCTTCGAGGGTTCACTGTATACATTATAAACGCCAGGATTGAAATTTCAGTAAATTTAGGTGACAACACAGGAGCCAGGTGTGGTTGACAAAACAAGTTCAGGTCCTGCTATGAAGTGTTCCAGTTCTTCATGACAGGAGTAGAAGGTGAATTGTTCTTCACCATCAGAGGGACATGGTATAGTGCCACTTGTCAGCAGAGTTAGCAGTGCACACTGGAGGTGTCATGACTTCCACAGGATAAAAGGGAGCAGGCGAAGCACAGTGCTCACATGAGCAAGTGTCAACGGTGGAGCGCCAACCTCGAGTCCAGCAACACCTGACATAACCTTCCCCGATACCTCCATGCATGTGCAGTTAAGCAGTTGAAAACTGCTGGTGATTTTGAATTAAATACCATTCTGATATTCTCCATGCAATGATAAACATGAAGAAAGCCTCTTTGCCACATGTGTGGAAAAGTGGTACTATGGTGTGGGTCACTGTAGCCATACAGTAAAACAGGTACAGGTATCTCCGTTAGCTAGAATTCCTCAAACCCGGAACTCTCCGATAGCAGGAATTGAAATTTTCTTGGAAAATCGTTCCCAGAGCTGGAATTTTCTGGAAAATTCCAGCTTTGGGAAAGATTTTCCGAGGGACACATTTTCGGGAAAATTCCAAGAAAATTTTCCCAATACCCGGAAAATTCCGGGGATGAGGATGTTTTTACTGGGTTTGACAGATGAAAATGAGGGGCATTTGCAGGAAATTCTGAGAAAAAAATTCGGACCCGGAAAATTCCAGGGATGAGGGATATTTTTCCGGGTTCAAGAGATGAAGTACAGTGGTCCCTTGGTTAACGAAATTTCGGTTAACGAATTACCTTTCATAAGAATAATCAATTCGGTTAAAGAAAAAAATTTGGTTAACGAATTCCTTACGAATTCCTCTTAACATGTTTTCGCTTGATCACCAGCTGGAATACAGTGAACCCTCACTTTACGCGGTTAATTCAACCCACGGCAGCCCGCGTAAAGTGAGAAACACATAAAGTGAACAACATAACATATGGGATTAATTGAAATAGAGACCGGGCCGACCCCCAAACTCCACTTTTTGACGACACACAACTATGTTGTAGTAAAAATATTATCTTAACTTCATGATGGTATGCACACACAATTAATAATTAAGAGAAATATCAATAATATTAGGTTTTTTAACACTTACATTAGTATAAAGATGGCCGGGCACACGGGGATGGGGGGTTGGCTCCGAGGCAGAGGGCAGATTATTGGCCCTCGCCTGTATCACTTGTATCAATTGTATCACTATCCACCACAGAGGCTTGTAGGGCCTCTTTGTCAAACCCCTCAAAGTCCATATAAGTCCATATCCTCACTATCATTATCACTATCACTGACTTGGGCTGGCTGTGGTGGGTGGCGGGTGAAGAACTCGGTAATGTTTTGATGACTGGGCGACCTTGTGCGCACCCTGCTCGCGCCGCTCTCCACGTAAAAGGGTACACACACCGCGGAAAGTGAGCATTCCGGTTTCGGCAGGGTACCGCGTAAACGTTTTAACGCATAAAGTGGGACCGCGTAAAGCGAGGGTCGACTGTATTAGTCTGCCAATACAGTAATCGGTTCTAGGGCTTAAATTCGTTCCCATTTGAGTAAATATCAAGAAGGTTGTACTATTCAATAATTTTCCAAGTTTTATATTAAAATTTTTAGTCATTTTAACAATTATTTAACATAACTGAAGTACAGGAAACTAGTTTTTAGTGCGCCAAACAGCCACTCAACTCACCAAACAGGCGTCAGTTTGTATCTCTGGTCAGTAGAGGTAACATCTTGCTTGAGACTCTCTTGAACATAAACTATTTTTAAGTTTTTACAGTACAATTAGTGGTCATTCTGAAATTTATTTTACATATTGACAATATATAGCGCAGTGCAGTGTTGATTTAAAGAAAATAATCTTGAATTACACCTAGTGAACTTAAAATTTTATGGGTGAAATGACGGCATGAATCATGGGGAGAGTTCTCTTCCATCCCCACTTCCTTCTCTTCTCCCTTCTCCTCCACCCCCACTTCTAATTCCCATCATCATCATCAACCAGGAGCCTTCTACATACACACCTCAAAGTAAGTGTACTTTACTGCAATTTTTATTTTACTTTGTATGTATTTTTCGGTGAGCTGGAACCAATTACCCAAAATCCCATTGAAACAAAGGTTTCGGTTAACGAAATTTTCGGTTAACGAACAACCTTCTGGCACGAATTGTGTTCGTTAACCGAGGGACCACTGTAATGGGCAATTTCTGGAACTTCCAAGAACATTTTTCCGTTACATGGAAAATTCCAGAATCATCTCGTTACCCGGAAATCTCTCATTCCCGGAAGTGCTCTGCACCAATTACAGTATTCCGGCTAATGGAAATATCACTGTATTTGACAGTTGGTTAATTCATCACTTTGTGCTAGATGTAAAATTATACTGTATACAACAGATACTGCCCTTCAAATTTTTTTTGGTGTTAGACAATGCTCTTGGCCACTTATCACATCTTGGGGGAGTATGATCCTGGTGTGAAGGTGGTGTTCCTCCTGCCAATACCACATCTCTACTTTTCCTGGGCAGTCAAGGTAATTAAGGTGAGGATGCCTCAACCCTTAACGAGTTCTGGAGGGGGAATACTATCTACCAAGCCATCAAGAACATTGGGGAGTCCGGGCATGAGAACATGTATACCAACATAAATGATTTATGGAAGAAATTTACCCCTAGTTCATCAATAACTTCAGGGGTTTTGATGACTTGCAGAGCATGACCAAGAGTGTGGTGGATATGAGAAAGCAACTGAACTTGGACCTGGATTTAGATGATGTGGACAAGTTGCTTTTCTCCCATGCAGAGGAGGTGACCTGTGAGGACCTCATGGAGCACCTGACCCAGTTAGTGCATGCTGCCAGTACCACCCATATGGCCTAACAAAGTGAGAACAAGGTGCACTACTTTTCACAATATATTTATCATGAAAAATAGGAGGTGTCACTGTTGCTGACAATATGTGCAGCAACAAAGGTGTGCAGTTTACAAGGAGCATTGCTCTGAACAGATCTTTTTCATCATCTTAACTCCCAGGGCCAGTCTCATTGAGTTCTACAGCCTTGAAAGAATCCCTGCCATCACTTCCAGCTCCTGAAAGTTCCTCAGGTGAGCTTGCTGTCCAGGCATGGGGGCGAAGCCAAGCCTTCAAAACTGAACTCATTGAAATGTCACAAAGCTGAAGCCAGACATTAAAAGTCATGAAGCCAAAGATGAAGCCAAGGCTTCATGAAACCTAACACCATTATTTATATAATACTATATAATGTACAGTATTACCTTATGTTGATGAGAATATTTATGGTATTCTAAGTTGCAGCAAGGCTTTGAGATAAGCTGACTGTTCTTGAGGTAAGTATTGACCCTCCCTTCAGGCTGAAAAAGATTACTTTTAGTAACAAACCATTCGATATCTTTGATCTCTTCCAACATTCAGGATCAGGTCCTTGTGATAATAGACAAGTAGGAATAACTTGAGATGTCGATGTGGATCTCAGTTCATATAAGGTCAGATCAAGGTCATATGATCAACTCACATTTGACTTGACCTCTCCTAAGTTTACCCTCCCTGGCACTACCTGGGGTGGAGATCTGAGATGATTGACCTGTGACAATATACAGTATTCTCATGTTGGCACTGGTCACTGACATGTTGATCCATAATTTCGGGCCCAAACTACAACCCATGTCACTTGTCAAGTCAGGTAAAATTTGTGCCACCTTGGATCTGCCACTAATTTTATATATATAATTGATATAATATGGTCAGTGTGTCTGTGTAAAGATGAAAATCCAAAGCCAGGCCTGTGGCTTCGAAGCTGAAGCCAGTGCTAGGCCTCTGACTTTGAAGCCGAAGCCTTTAGAAATTTCAAAGCCAAAACTGAAGCCCAGCCCAAAAAGCATGGCTTCCAGAAGCCAAAGCTGGCTTCAGCCCCATGCCTGGCTAGCACCATCACCAGAGGTCCAGGGAATCTCCTCAGAGTCTGACAAGTCACCTCGAACCCTTCTTGGAAATCTGACAAGTTACCTGCAAAGTCTCCCTCACCCCCATCTTCTCCATTGTAACACCAATCCACAAACACCATGTCTGGTGACAAATTGTCTGTAGGATCAGTAACCAATAGTACCAGCTAGCACTGTCAAGGAATTTCCTGGTTATTAACCCCATAGCCTTGTCTAGTTATTACAGGAGTTACCTGGGGCAGGTGTCTGATCATCTGACATATATTTTGTAATTACATGTATTGTAAATTTATTTTATAATACAGTACAGTATTCATAAAACAATAATAAACACATCCTGTACAACCCCTACCATTTTGTTCTAGAGTTGAAGCTCTATTTTTGTACTGTTGAATTCGATCTGAGATAGCTGGACTACACATCCCCAGAGTTGTGGCACGGTCCAGGTATGTTGCTGCTTGACGATACATGTAGATGGCTGCCTGGTGACTACCAGTAGTGTCAAAATGTGTTGCTTGCCGAGCCACTTCAGCAGCATGGTTAATACACTCTTCGGCACTGCTCATCTTGAACTGCTTGATAAAATATATTGTAATTATGAAAACATAACAATAAAAATTAGTAAAGAATAAATAGACAATGGATATTTATAAGTCACTTGCACAGATTTCATAAGTAATACACTGTGCCAATACTGTACAATCATAGTTTAGTAATGGCTTTTGCCAAAACACTGAAGGTGGCATTATTGGTAAGGACACCAAGGGAAAAATATTTTTGTGCATCACGAGTGTCTACATTTGTAAAATACTATTGAAATTAAACTTCCTACGCAAAAGCAAAGAACAGAAACTTAGTTCTGTGATGACACCCTATTAAGATATTACAGTGTCTAGTTAAGATATCTTTGGAAAAGTTAAGGGTAATATCTAGGATACTGTCCTCCAATAACCTGCAACTGAAAACTTTCTTACCTCAAGATTTACTGAAACCAGGTGGAGGAATTTAAACTTTCTGACAACAGTATTTTCTTTGGGTGATTTTCCCAATTTTTTTTATAGGAATAAATACATTGTCACTCAAGGATACCATTTTTGCACTTCGACTGTTGAAAAACACTTCCCAGCAAGTGAATAAATGCTAAGCGACCGAACTCTTTCCAGTGACCTTTCCATACCCTACTTAATCTAACGTAAACTGACCTAACAAACCTAACCTTAAATTATATATCGGCCCTTAACATATGCGGGGTTTAGGTAACAGAGATACCCGTGAATGTTAAAAATCTGTGTATTTTTGCTCCCCCCCCCTAAAAAACCCCTGGCCCCCCATGTCCTTATTTACCGTATATACCTGTGTGTAGTTCGAGTTTTTAAGACCAAATTTTTTGGCAAAAAATTGGGGGTCGACCTCTAAAAGGGTAATAGTTTCGTTAGGTTGAAAAATATTTACTAGTAACTACCAGTAAACAATGGAAACGACGCACCACCAGCTGTGAGTGTCGGTACAGTTGCCAGGGCAGATCTCTTGCGTCATCATAGCAAGCCCAAAGTAGCCAAATGCATGGTATGGTATGGTATGCACAGGACGATGTAAAACATAATGTATTCATTTTTTAAAGTTTATTTATAGATACTGTACATAAATTTTTGTTCATTACATTTGAAACATCAATCTTTGTTAATTAAATTTGAAACAAAAGAAAACTACGATACCATATTTTGATTAAAATATTACATCACAAGTATATTTTACCTTAACTGTGACTGAATTAATATATTCTCAGAAATAAATATGGAAATGTAATATTTTGGCTGAAATGACGTACATATTACAGTGGAAAGTGGGATAAAATCATGACGAAAACAATGACTTTCGCTTTCTTTCGTTGTTCAAAAGATTTTACCGTAATCACTTTTCGAATGGTTTTCAGTTAAAAAACTGTTGTACTGTACTGTATTACAATAATATTCTATCCTATCATTAGCCTCATAATCCCACAACTGAAAAACATTCGAAAAGCGATTACGGTAACATCTTTTGAACGAAAGAGAGCGAAAGTCATTGCTTACGTCACAATTTTATTTCACTTTCCACTGTAATACGTACGTCATTTCAGCAAAAATATTACATTTCCATATTCTCAGAAATAAATAGTAGTTTTGTTGAAACATAATGTACAGTATTTAATATTAAAATGCAAAAAGAGCTATAAAAACAATTAATACTGTACACCCGTAATGTACTGGCAGGCATCTCCACTCGTCCCTGCTCCCACCTCCAGCGTCCCCACTCCTCCCCGCTCTATCCCTCCGCCTCCACATCGTCACTACTGCTGACAACAAACACAAATGTTTTGTGAATAACTGCACCTTCACTTCCTATGTACAGTACTGAACTGTACTGTGCTGTGCATTTTTACAAACAATAAACATGGCAAGAGAAGCTATAAAAAAAAAGAGATAAACATTTCACTTTACTGTACCGTACCTATGCTGGCTTGGAAATGTGTCGGAGGTGTCGGAGGAGTCTCAGGTCTGGGGGTAGCAGCACTGGTACTGGGTACGGGTTCCTCAGCTGCAGGCGTGAAGCGTGTGTGTAGAGACTTAGCTTTCTCCCGGATAAGGATAGAGTCCACTGCTACACCTTTCCGGTGCTGGTCCTCTATCCACAGAAGCAAGGCATTCTCCATCTTCACCATTGCCTTCTCCCTCACTTGGCTGACATGCTTAGCACTGCATGGAGCACTGGCACTTACAGCATCACAGATATCTTTTTCCTTTTTCTTGATGGTACGTACGGTGCTTTCGTTCACGATGTACAGTCGTCGCCCCACAGCAGCGAACGACATTCCCTCCCTTAATTTATTCAGCAACTCCACCTTCTCCTGCAGAGTCATCACTTTCTTCTGGCACTTAGGGATGACTCCAGCTGGTGTCTTTGATGCTCTTTTAGGGGCCATGGTAAATGTGGGTAGCAAGGGTAGCAACTACAATTCTGATGTCAACACAAGCGTGGTTACAGCGAGACTGACTGAGTGAGGGAGCGCGGGGTGGCGTGACGCGCTATGCGTGTGTGTGTGCGGGGTAGTGGGCCCTGTGCCGTGCGCCATTTCACACCCAAATTCTGCAGTCTAAGGTATGCAAAACTACAGGTTCAACTATAGGTTAGGTTAGGTAAACACATTTTTCTGGTGTGTTTTTATGTGCTTTCTGCCAAACTTGACCTTCATATCCATGGAAAAATAGTAGTTTAGGGGCAATTTGAAAACTGTAATTTTCTTCAAAACTACTATTTTTCCAAGGAAATGAAGGTCATTTTTGAAGAAAGCACATAAAAATACATCAGAAAAATATGTTTTTTAATTAAAAATAGCGTTGGTACATAAAACGAACCTTTACCGATTTGGGTATTAATAAGGAAAAATACCAATGAATCATAGCAAATACCATGGGAAAAACAAAAATTGGTAAATTTGCATTAGTGCAAACAACTGTTAGAAAGTCAAAACTATGTTTTGTGTGTTTTGATTGATTTTGACCCTGATTTGTGTCAGAAATTGCCTGTTTTTTTGTTATTGAGTGTTTTGCGTGAGACGTTTTCCGCCAAAAATCATGGCCAAGCGAATATAAAACACACAAAAAAAATAGAAAAACATATATACCGAACCTTATTTTGGATGACCTAACTTAACCTAACATAACCTGACCTGATCTGATCTGACCTGACCTGATCTGATCTGACCTGACCTGACCTAACCCTCCCCATATGATGGAATCACTTATTTCTTACCTTATTGTCCTGGTTCTCGTTCCGTTGTATTCACTGACAATGTACGAACACCAATGTCCCTTCTTTGTTTTGGGAATAAGGAATGAGTTACTGCAATGCCAACTATGTTGGTCTTGACAATATTTACACTTGTTCCTACACTTAGAACACTACTGATGTCGGGAGAACACCATGAGATCTAAAAAATGCTATAGCTTGTTCGTTTTTTTTTCTCCAAAATTCACAATAAACTCCACATAATTGAAGTGACACCCATAGCAGACTTCAATGGTCGGAAATAAATTGGAATTTCGAAATATGACCCAAAATAAAAATCGATTTTGATTGGGCCAAAAACACTGCAAATTAAACCACAAATCATTTTAATTAGTCGCAAAAAAAAAAGCTTTTGATTGGTCGCGTGACATGTACGGGAACGCATGTACGTGATGATTTATGAAGGAAACATGCTGAGTGGGAGGTGAGGTAGGCGATAATGGTGAATGATTAATGGAAGAAAATATAGAAAATTTTGGATATGCTATCTCCGTTATTATACGTTTGCGACGGTAATGTAATAGAAGAAAATTACCTTAAAATTAGATGTCTTATTCATATATGATAATAGATTTCGGGTAAGAAAGTTATGTGCACAATACAAAAATACCCCAAAAAATTGTGGCCTAACAGTAGTTGTGGCTGAAACTGTAAATTAACAATTCCTTCTGGTAGTTGTTCTCATACATTACCAGTTTCCCTTACAAAAAACTAATTTATGCCTGAGTGGGTAGGTCCAGGGAGATTAGGTGAAGTAATTTTCATATTATTTACGAGAGAAACGTCATAGAAGTGTATTAAATTTTTACTAAACCATTGATTGTACAAAATATAATTACTATGATTCCCGTGTTGCTTTAATATGCCATGAACTTACCGCGTCTACGTGTGGGTTTGGATGAGACAAATAACCAAGACTGAGTCAGCTGGTGGATGACATTTCTCAGTGTTTATTATAGAGCTTCCTTACTGTCCACCCTGACCATGTTACTTCTGGGGTGTTATATCCCACATTAAATGGATTTTTTTGTGTTATAATGTTCCTTTAAATAAATCCATATTAATTATATCCCTGCTTGATGAGTTTGAACAAATATTATAAAGTAGGTATAGTGATAAAAGATAGTGTAAAAAGAGTTACTTGTACTAGGTATTAACAAGTGTATCACTATTGTTCGTGGTTTGTTTTCTACATTGAACAAGTTGATCATTGGGTCACATATTAACAGATTATTTAGTTACTTACGTGTATTAAATGTGGATAATAATTGCCACCACAGCTCTATCAAGTCTGGTATGAGTGAACAAGACCAAGATCGTATATAACTGAAAGCTGACAGTTACAGCTTAGTCATCTGTCGCTAGTTTACAAGTGAAGAAATAAAGTCTATTGTAACACTATTTGAACGCCTCATTGTTACTGTTATATTGAAATATTGTGTTAATGTTTGACCTAAACTGATATGCTTCCGTCTTAGGCTAGGTAATAGTTAAAGAGTACACAGCAGTGGAAATTATGTACAGTGAAATCTCTATTTAATGGACTATGTGGATATAAATGTATGTTATATGGAGATTTTGCTGTATATACTTGCACCAAAATTTCTGGAGATGTTCATTGCATTACTTTTTACTTATATCCTTTTCACCACTGATCGACACGTTAGTCGCTTGTGCGATCGGTCACGTTGTGGGGTTATGAGATATTGGTTCACACTTCCCTAGCTTATATTACAGACGGGCAAGGGGTGACCTAGTTGAGGTGTATAAGCATCTCAGGGGGCACTACTCAGTCAAGTGTCCCTACTTGGAGCAGGCGGACGCTCGCCCCACAAGGGGTCACAGCTCAAGATTGAAGAAGCCGCAAGTCCAGAAAACTGTGAGGGCAAACTTTTTCGGAGTGAGGGTTGTAAACTCTTGGAACAATCTACCAGAGAGTGTTGTGACGGCACCGAGTGTGAGCTCTTTCAAGAGAAGGCTTGACCAACACTGGAGCGGGTTCAGGTACATTCAGGAGCCGGTGCATGCCCAGATTTTGTGCCTGTATATGATGTTACTGGTCATGGTCTTACCCAAGTAATTATGAGCCAAATAGAGAAATTGAACCTTGAACCAGAAAAAATGATTGGGCAAGGATGTGATTGGGCAGCTTCCATGAGCAGGCATTTGAATGGGGTTTCTGTCCACTACGCTGAATATCATAACTAGTAAAGTGAACCATTTGATCAAGAAATATATACCCAAGACCAAACCCAGTGCCTCTAGGAATACTGTACAAGGAGACCCCTACACATGGACCATGCGGCGGTCAACAAAGTTAAGAAGAAAACCCAGAAATTCAAGGCGTGGGTTAGGTCAAACGATGAGCAGGACAGGAGGATGTGTGGAAGAGCCGGGAACCAAGGAAAGTCAGAGTGTAGAAGGGTTGACGAGGAGTTCCAGAGGCTGGTTGTAAGCGAGGTTAAGTGAAACCCAAATGTGTTTTACCGCTATGCAAAGTCGAAATTAAAAACGCGAGTTAGAGTATCAAACCTGAGGCCTGAAGATGGTAATTACGCAGATTCTGACTAGGACAAAGATGAGGCATTGAACAGCTTCTTTTCTTCGGTGTTCACAAGAGAAGACAGACGGTTCGGCACAGCATAGACCCACATTGTGTTCACAGAAGAGGTTATAAGAAATCAACTGTCAAAGCTAAAGGTGCATCCCAGTGCTAAGGGAGTTGTGCAACGAGCTTGTTAAGCCCCTGAAGATCCTGTTCTGTAAATACCTGGATGAGCAAAAGGAATATTTATGGAGGAAGAAACAGAATACCTCTTTGATGTTTGCAGTGCCACAACACGAACTCTTATTGAACTTCGATGGCTTGAAAATAAACCTTTCAAGTTCTTTATTATCGTATCTTGGTTTTTGCTGTAGTCTTTTTAGATTTTTCATGGTTAAAATTTTAAATGGGGAAGATCAGATTTTTAAACTCATAAGAACTACATGAAATAACTGAAACACTTGAAAATTATATAATATTTTTATTTATTAGGGTAAAAGTTGTTGTGTATGGTATGAAGTTTTCAGAAACACTTGTGTATTAAATTTATAAGGTGACAATTAACATAGAGAGGGGCTAATGATCCTCACTATCAAGGCTTAGGACCACACACACCAGGTATGGGGCCGATTGAGATTGGTGATTAAAATGTATCAGTATTTTGGATTATGATTTTTCTTTTTTACACCTGTGATTACATTGGCTTCAATATAATGGATTATGATTTCCCTGGGCTCCACTTCATTCATGATTACAAATACCAAAAATAAGGTAGCTTAAAAATTCAGCTTTAACTTTAATGCCGACACTTGAAATGGCTCAAAATGGCTGATAATATGTGGAGCCAAACTTTACAGGCAGTGAACAGCACAAATTATCCAATAGCAGAGGAGTATCCTATAATACTGATAATGTGCTTGCTGGCCCTTCTTTGGGGTAGAAGGACATGAAGGACCTCTGGTGGTGTAGAAGAAATCGGGGCGTCATAGTAACTGGTCATATGGTCAGTGTTGCCAGATTGTATGGTTATGCAAAATGACAGACTATTCAAAGTGGCAAGAAAAATTTAAATGTCTATTGATATGTACGGCAATCCAATAAGTAAATCGAATATTATATCAATTCTTTATTTTACTTTAACCTCTTTGCCACTGATCGGCTTGTTAGCCACTTGGGCGGTTATACACTGTTGGCAAGTACAGGTTCCAGGATGTATCTGTACCTGCGCCAGTGTTGGTCAAGTCTAGTCTTGAATGATCTCACACTCAGCACCATCACAACACTCTCTAGCAGAGTTTGCAGCTCTCACTCTAAAAAAAAAGTTTGCCCGACGTTTTTTTTAACTTGTGGCTCCTTCAACCTTACAGTAAGCTGTGACCTGAAGAGGGGCAGGCATCCACCAGCTCCAGATATGGACACTTGATTGAGTAATATCCTCTGAGGTGTTTATAAATCCCTTGCCCGCCTATAATGTAGTATAAGCTAAGCAGTTGTTCGTGTTCTAGACTCTCTGGATAACTAAAGTGCCATAGTGTTGGCACCAACTAATCTGGTGGCCCTCCTTTGGACGTTTTTAATAAACTGACAGTCTCTAGCTTATCTCAGGGACCACATGGGGTGACAGTACTCCAAACAAGGAAGCACATCCCTTTTAAAGTAAGTGTAACTATATAATATATAATCAGAGAATAAGATGATTTTTACGTGGATACGATTATAAGGTATAGAAGAAGCTAGATTATGATTAAATTTTTTTTTATTTTTTTATTATAAGATTGAAAATTTATGCCCTGTATATATATATAGTATAAATTATTTTGATTACAATTATGAATTATGAATACACCAGCCTAATTTCTGACCCACACTGTAGTCATGTACAGTAGCAGACAGTCTCACTTACTTGTCCTATCTATGAAGACAATGTTTCACATTTCGCCAATCATGTATTAGCTCCTGTCTAACACAGTATTAGTTATATAAATTTGGGCTGCATACATTATGTTTATTTTAAACTATGAGCAAGTGTCTAGTAAATACTGTCTAATATTGAAGCAAGTGATGTACGTCAATGTAACCTCATTGTCTTTTAAATGACCTCTGCGCACCACTGTCTAACATGGTCATCAGTTTATTCGCCGGTTACTTCAGTCATCCTAGTTTACTGCACACATCATTGTCATTCCTAAACTCCCCCTTTAATTCATATTACGCTACATAACATTTAAATCCACCGCGCTTGTAGAATCTCAGAGAACGGGAAACATTGATAAAGGATAACTCACCTACTCAATGTTACTGAATCATGTGTTGTATTGTACCCAGGTACGGTTATATAATATTAATTGTATGTATTCATAGCATTAAGGAGAACTCAAGGTATCCATAAGATGGTTGGGGAAGTCCAGTTGAGCCGGACTAGTGTACTGTAGGACTAAGTGTGGATCAGGGTTTGAAGGTCATATTATTTACGTCTGTGAACGAGTAGCGAACATAACTTCCGCAGATATCACATGAAAATACACGAGAACAATGATCTGGAAAAAGGATAAATGTATCAGAACTATGTGAGGTGTTGGAAGTGACCCAGAAACTATACTTGAAAGGAAATATCTTGTATGCATCGGTGTGAACTTAATACACCTCGTATCCTCGGGTGGCGTATACCCACGACATGTACAGTGACCAGAGAATCTTATGTCTGTGTTCAAATAGTGCAATGTGTGAGGGGAGGATCCCTAATTACAGTTTTAAGTGAAGTGGATACCCATGCTCTGAACATACGGCTTTTGTTTCAAGGCAGCGTCCCTTGTACCCGGCCTACAGGTGTGTGTTCTTGATATAGCCCACTTAATTTCCCCAAGAACTGTCAAGCCCGAACCGTATTCTAGTATGTAAGTTAAAATTAAAATATGGATTTATAAGACAGCAGGTCACAATAAACCGGAAATGGAGATGCGAGAACCATATGAAATCAAAGTAAAAATTAAAGATTGGAAACTGTAGGACTACGAGGTGAGGAGCAGCAGGGCACTGTCCTTAGTATCCTTCGTTCTCCCATCACCTCAGGTCTACATCCCGCGCTAAAAAAGGCTAATATAGCAGTTACTACAATTTAAAACTTTGCTTGATGCATAAACTGAAATAGGGATGTGTTGGGGTGGGTGATAACGGCCCATCAGGCATTATTTCTGAGTATCCTTTGTTCTCCCATCACCTCAGGTCCCACGCGGTCGGAGCACCTTGCTGGATGTCGGCCATTATCCCTGTGACCGTCCCACCATGTGAGATAAGAACATAAGAAAGTGGGATACTGCAGGAGGCCGACTGGCCCATACAGGGAGGCCGACTGACCTAAGGTGCTATATTCCATACAGGTGGAGCAGTCTGACGTGTTGAGTGATATTGTAAGAAGGGTAACCAAAATCATCGTTGTTCTCCTGAGGAAGGCCAACTCATTCGTATTTTACCGGAATGCAGTATGTTTTATAAGGAATAAATTAGTTAAGACATGTTATGGTTTCACCCTTCTTTCCCCGTATCGATTTGGTCAATGAAAAACCTAACCCAATGCCTAGTTCACTCTGCATGCTACCTAACGAGCTACATACTGCCCAGAGGGGGTCTGGTGGCAGCAACCCTTAAAATTAAGACAATAGTTAAGTTATCCCCTTGGACTTAGTGACCCCAGAATCTGGCAGTATACTAGGTCTCTCAGACACACCACACCAGTGGGGTTCCCCAGGGGTCAGTACTAGGCCCACTCTTGTTCATAATCTACATAAACGATCTGGGATCATCAGTGACATAAGCAAGTTTGCGGATGACACCAAAATAGGGCGGCAAATTAATTCGGGGCAGGATGCTAATGCATTACAGGAGGATCTAAATGAACTGCAGGGGTGGTCTGAAAAATGGCAAATGAAATTCAACACCAGCAAGTGCAGCGTACTTAATATTGGAAGAACAAATACTTATAATGTATTAACAAAATCAACCTAGAGAAGTCGACTTGTGAAAGAGACCTAGGGGTACTTGTAAGCCTGGACCTACGGCCTAGAAAACAGTGCGTTAATGTTCGAAATAAGGCAAACAGAGTATTGGGTTTTATATCTAGAAGTGTAAGTAACAAGAGTGCAGAGGTCTTATTGCAACTATATCTTTCGCTAGT